TAAATTTAAATTTAATTTACATATTTAAAACACAGCTCCCTGTTGTTTCTAAAAATGTTTTAAATCACCAGTTTGTTTTTGGGTTTTATCTCGTGCCCTCTCCACGTACAAGTCTGTCATTTTTCTGGGCGTAGGGAGTACCTGGTGGCTTTGTGGCTACTTTGGGGACATTGGCTGTTACACTAGTGTATGGGGTGTCACTCTTGCCTTCACTGGGCATAAAACTTAAAAAGGATCATTCCTGTGATTAAGGTCATTTTTGGGTAGGGCCATAGGATACCCGAGTCCTTCATTTGGTTCCCTTCATTGAAGCAGCTTCAAGTGCTGTTCTCTGGAGAACTGGATCAGCTCTGGGGTCCAGGCAGCCTGTCATGACGCCGAAAAATACTAGGTGGGTGGCTCTGTCATCCCTGGGAGGTTTAGGGGATTGGTTTTGCTGTGTTTCGTTTCCTGCTGTGTCGCGAGGGGCTTTTCATTTTGCAGGTGCACGCAAGTACCTACCTGCACGTGTGCGCACACACATTCTTGCCCGATGAGAACTTGCCGTCTAAGTGACCCTGGAATTCAGCTTCGTAACTCAGTGCTGCAGTCACAGAACCAAAACATAATTCATCATGCATCACCAAGAAATGCCCACCGACCACCCATGAGCGGGGCCTTTCGCCTGTGTTCTTCATCCTCAGGGGCCCCGCTGATAGAACCAGTTCACGGGTCCGTCTCAGTACTTCTCCTTTTCATTTCCGGTACAGTTTATGTGATTTAACATTCATTTCAAACTGGTTGACACATAAGACTCAGGGCAATTTAGTACCTTTCATTATCATAGAAAATGTGGAAATTTTGCCCAGAATCATGCTCAAGGCCTCTGGCTAGTATTCTTAAAAAAGAAGGAGCAGGGGAAGGAGGTGGAAGAGGAGAAGGGGGAGGGGAGGAGAAAAGGAAAAGGAAAAGGGAAAAAAAAACCCCACTCCCAATGGTACTTGGATTCTCGTTTTTCCAAAACTGATTTCTAAACAACCTCAAGTTCATCCCGGGCTGGTCTAGCTGTGGCCCCAGCAGGTAGGTGCTTGGCCTCGGACTTCCCGAAGGCACTGGTGCCCGGGGCCAGCTCACCCTGTTGTTCCGGCGGATGGCGCAGCCGGGCCGCTGTGTTTCCCGCTGTGTCTCCCTGTGCATGAGCCCTTTCCAGAAAGGCCACAGCCAAGCCCTTCCCTCTCTTCCGAGCGCCCAACACATTTTGCTCAAACTTCAGGTGAAATAAACCTACCCCTTTTCAGAGTCAGGGCGAAAGAGCTTCCTGGCATCTCACTCAAAGCAGTAACAAAATAAGGGTTCTAGGACCTGAAGTACTGCTGCACTCGGCTTGTTTTCTGGAGAAATGAAAGAGCCGTTTCCAAGGGACACTTAGGATTCCACCATGTCTCCGTTAGAGCCTCGCTGGTTCCTAAAGAAAGTGACAGCTAGCCCCACACTGTCACTAGGACATTGGCTCTGTGGCTCCCAGGTAATGTGGACCCTTTGTTCTGGGGTGAGAAACAGACAGAAATGGAGACCCACTTTCGGAAATTAAAGTCTTCAGAACTTGGCCCGTCTGCTGGGGGAGGGGGCCGGCTCTGCCTCACGCGTGTGCTCGGACTTCAGACTCCAGGACCTGGTGCCACAAACACTAGTCCCCCTTTACACTCTGTGCACTTCGGGGAGCGTTCAGAAGATACAGTGCCTTCGCACAGTGAATATCAGTGTAGAAGGCACATTCCCGTGACTCTCCCTGGAACTACCTCTTGGGCATAGATGGGAATCCGTAGTTAATTCCTGAAACTACCATTGGCCGATGACATTTATGTCATTTTCTTTCCTCAAACGCTATGTGGGGATGATGATATTCTACAATGGTGCACAAAATGCTTCCTTATCTGGAAACCAGTTTTCTGGGACGTTGGGGTCTTAGGTCTGGATGTAGCCAGACTCTTCGATGTTCCAGCTACAGGCCCAGAGTTAAGAGAGTTGCAGACGGGCAGATGCTGAGACATGCATCGCCAGTCCGTGCCCTCCGCCTGGGGCAGTGAGCAGCCAGTGATAGCTCCAAAAGGCCAGCCTTTTCATGTGATGCCGGCGGGTATGGGAGAAGCAGCAGGGGACAGAGGACAGAGGAGAAACAGCACAGCAGCGGTGGTTGGAGGGGGAGCAGTGGTGGGGATTGAAGGTGGAAGTGTGGGGGTTTACGTCTGCGGCAGCGAGAAGTAGACCGAAGAGCTCGTGGTGCATGCGGTGCTGGGTGACAGAAGGTGGGGATTGTGGAGATGAGGGCAGTGGGGCAGGGACAGGATGTCCCTGGGGCCACAGGGAAGGCGACAGGTCAGGAACAGTGTGGACAGTAAAGTTGAACTCCAGTACAAGATCAGCCATGTCAACCTTACAGTGCCATGAAAAGTGAGTGATACAGGCACATGTTTGTTGAATGAATACATACACGCATGTACTGTTTCTACCGGGGTGTGTGTTGGGGGGCGTGTACTTTCATGAATGTGTGCATGAGGAAAACTGAGGGCAGCCTGTACAGAGCTGAAGGCACGCCTGTTCTGCACGAGAACTTACAGCTGGTGTGCATGTCCATCCAGGACAACGGAGGAACAGTGAGGTCGAACTGTGCATGGTTGGATTCCACAACCCGTGGAACAGGGACTTAAAAGTCAAGTGCCTGGTGTGACTGCCTGGCAAAGGGCAGAGCATGGTGACATACCACCAGTAACAGCCAGGCTGCCCGGCTGGGCCAGGGCAGCTGTGAAAACCAGCTCCGGAAGGCGCCTCTGGGAGCTGTGCCGGCAGGTCTGCAGAAGCGCAGCTGCCCTGTGAGCCCCCAGGAGGGCCCCCGTCCTAAGGTGCACACATCTGACGGTGCCACCAAGTACGGTTGGGGCAGCGGGGCACATGGGGGGCACATGGCGGCACTCGCCCTGGGCACGACTCCACCTGTCAATCACAGCCGTTCACAGCTGCTGACAATAGTGAGTTTACAGACAAGGAAGGGTGCACTCTGTTTTAAAATGTTTTAAATAAGCATCAAAAACGTTTAAAAGCATACTGCACCCTTCCTTGTCTATAAACAAAGTTTTCCCCATGGCTATTTAAAATGTTACAGCCTAAAAGGTTCAAAGCTCTCTGGCAAATTCCAAAATGACTCATCCCCTAAACATTCCAAATGAGCATTGTCCTTTGCATCCGAAAAGTGCCTTCCACTTTCCGAAATGTGTCTGCAGACATTATTCCTTGCGATTTTTACTGCATTGTTCTGGGTGATGTATGGGCTCTTTGGTTTGTGTGTTTTTCATTTACTGCCAGTTTGCATATAAAGAATTTGAGGCAGAGAGAGATGTAAACAAAATATTTCAAGTCAGCCCACTGGGTGGTGGCAGAAGGGGAGGGGGCCCGGCGCGCTGATTTCCAGCTCTTGCCCTGACCTGCAGCCCAGAGTCTCTGACTGCTTTTCCGTGTGGCTGACTGTGGCCCGAACGGGTGAAAAACACCCAGGGGAGCTGCAGATAGCCTCCTGTTCAGCGTGTTCACAGGGCTGCTCTGCACTCAGGGATACACTTTTCATCCTCTCCACAAACAGGCAGTTTTGGTGTTTGGGCTTCAAGAACAAGAAAATGAACTGGGCTTCTGTTTGGTTTGGGGTCTCCTCGTACAGAGTGGGCCCGAAACCCCTCATTCTCTGAGAGACCTCAGTTCTCTCCCACAGCTCGGAGGGAGCGCCACTGGAGACACAGCTGCGTCTCCCACCTTTCTCTGTCGGGCATCAGTGAGGTTCTGAGAGATACTGAATTACTGGTAACCAAGAACCGAGAGAAGCCATTTTGAAGAATCAATAAAAAGATAAGTCGGAAATCTAAGGAGCGGCCTAAAGGGTGCATCGGCGGAATCACAAAATCATTCTTTAATTCTGCGTGCAGTGAATGGTGCATGCAATTTCTATCTGTGATACAATGACTATGATATCTGTACAGTTTGTATCTGTGAAAGCTGACTTATTTTAAGACACTCTTTCTGCAAGGTCATTGATAATCCCAGAAAAGGGAAGGCAGTTCACCCCAGGGTCCATACGGCCTCATCCGAGAGCGCCCTCCTCACGCGCAGCAGGGGCAGGCGGGAGGGCACGCTGGTGCCACGCGAGGCACGGCCAGGGGGGTTCAGTTCGGAGGTGGCCCGGCGAGTTGACTTAGGCTGCTTATTGCTGGCCCAAGTGTAGTGACGTGGTGGGCAGCTGTGGGGATGACCTCATCCCATTACATCTCAAAGCAGCTGTGCCCATGAGAGCCGGGCTGCTGCTCCCCAGCAATCGTCCATCTTCACTTCTCATTCATAATTGAAAGGGAGCGAGGATCGTTTTTTGCCCACTGCAGGAGGTTACGTCAGAGCCCCGGCGGCACACCAAAGCGCTCTCGTGCCGTCGCAGCTTCACTGCTGTAACCTGCTGTCCTGACGGGATCTGCGTGACCCTGTGAGGTGCGTGTTGTAGGAAGGAGAGCGGAGACGGGGAGGGCTGAACTCTCCATCCAGGATGGGAATGGGGGCGTGCTGCTGCCTTCTGGTCTGGGAGTGTCCCAGATGTCTCTGCACTCGCCGCCTCAGACTGGACCGAAACCCAGCACAGCAGGTCCTCCTCGGGCAGCATCGTTCCAGCACTGATGAGATGCCATAGGATCTTCCCTCTCGTTTACGTCAGTTAGCCTATGATGCAGCTGGTTTCATTATGCACCATTTCACGTGAAGTCTCAGAACCTGTTGATGGCATTAAGTGAGGACTTCCTGTCCTTCCTCCTGGGTTACCACCCCCTTAAGTGTCCTGGTGCGTCTCTGGAGGAGAGGAAGCCTTTAAATTAGGCAGAGCTGTTGGAACAATATTCTCCGTTGGCTGCATTGAATATTGATGGTGTGAGCCTGGCTTTTTAGGGATCTTTTAAAACCTGACGTTTAATATTATCATGTTTACACTCACACAGGTGGTTTCAGAAAAGAAATCACCGAGCACTGGGAGTGGCTGGAGCAGAATCTCCTGCAGACCCTGTCCATCTTTGAAAACGAGAACGACATCACCACGTTTGTGAGAGGCAAAATACAGGTAGGGCGTGTTTTGTTTCGCTGTTAAACTTTTCTGTTGGAAATCACGTAGAGCTTACGGAAAAGTCGTACAAATACTCAGGTACGTGTACTTTTCTTACTTCCTTAACTCCTGCACGCGAGGCTCTACGGGCATGCTGTTCTGCATTTGCTTCTCTCACTCAGTTACTCCTGGACAACTCTCTGCAGAGAATGTCCATGCAGTGGTTGTTAACTTTGATAGTGCTGTTTTTTAGTTGGAAGTTATTTTGAGGTTTGCAGAAGAGGGCAGAGACAGAGCAAAGAATTCCCATAGACCCTGAGCTCAGCTTCCCTGAATGTTGACCTCGTACACGACCACGGCACATTTACCGACACCGACACAGTAACAGTGATGCGACATTGTTACCCAGTCTACAGATTTTACTTGGGTTTTACCAGTTTTCCCACTCTGTGGCCTTTTATTTTTTATTTTTAGTTCCATGGTCCAATGCAGGGGCCTAGGTTGCCTTTAGTTCTTTATTTTTTATTTATTTTTTAAAAAGATTTAATTAATTTATTTTTTTAGAGAGGGAAGGGAGGGAGAGAGAGAGAGAGAGAGAAACATCAATGTGCGGTTGCTGGGGGCCGTGGCCTGCAACCCAGGCATGTGCCCTGACTGGGAATCGAACCTGCGATGCTTTGGTTCGCAGCCCGCGCTCAATCCACTGAGCTACGCCAGCCAAGGCAGTTCTTTATTTTTTTTTAAAGCTGCGTATGATGTGTGCATGCACCATAGTTAATGCAGCCAGTCTCCTGTGCTTGGTCATGTAAGCGTTTCCTGGCACTGGGGACCGGAGCTTTATGGGGACTGCCGTGCTCACCGGGTGAAAGCGGTCCGCAAGGCCTGGTCCATTCGTGTGAGTGATTCGGCCCCAGGGTATTTCAGAGTGCTGTTGCTCAGTGCTCCGCTCTCTTAAATCTTCTCATATTTAAAAACATTTTCCTCTTTAAATGTAAATGACCGTTCTTGAATGTGCTATTTCCTAGACCTTTGGATATCAGAGTCGGAACTTAATGTTTTCCACTGAAAACTCATGGGCATCATTTGTGTGTGACACATCGCTCCCTTCCCTATTCCCCTTATTCTGCCTTCAGGTAGGGGCCTAGCAGTGGACCCCAGATGCGGATGGTGTAGACTTTTGGAGTTTAGACTGGTAGCAGTGGGGAACCACTCTGGACTTTCTCCCTAAGAATTTTGTAGTCAGAAAAAGCGTTAGGAAGACACATGTGTAGGGGCGTCCCGGATGGACCGGAAGCAGGAGAGCCCGGAGGCAGGGGTTCCGGGGACGAGGGGACGAGGCAGTCGCAGTTTTCTGTTGGTGGCACGTGGAGGGTTCGTCACGTCAGGGAGAGCCCAGCGGTTACCCAGCTTCTGCGCTTGAGCGCCTGCGCCCTGCTGTGCTGCCCTGAGACCGGAGCGAGCGAAGAGGAGCAGAGAGGGGTCCGGAGATCGCGCGGTCAAAGGGGGACGTCCAGGGAGCACTTGTACGCAGAGCTGCATGTAGGAGCCAGTTTCCTGGGAAGTGCGAGGAATCGGTGATGGCGAAGTGGCTTCTCGAGCTGCTGACAGGACCGAACAGCCGCTCGTTCCTTCCCCCCAGGGTCCCTGGTGCTGTGCACGGCCCTGAGACGGCGGGGTTTGGGCCGAGGGTCCGTTAGTGACATGCCTTCTGGTCTGTCTGTCCGTCCTTCCTTGTCCGCTCATGATAAATGTTTGTTGATTTTTTGAGAAGGGCAGAAATTGACCTTTCAGACGACTATCATGATAAGCTGGGAAAATCAATAGAACTAGCAAAACCTTTACATTTCCTCATTTGTAAAATAAATTTCTGGGCTCTGTCCTAAGTGAACTTAATAAAACAATGAGCACCAATGAACAGATAATAAAATCTGTATTGTTATTTTGAAGGTCTTTTTATACACAAATGCTACTTGTTCATTGGCTTAGAATTGGGGGGGTTGCCTTTGAAAACAATCCTTCCATTTTTAAAAAAAAAACTTCTAGCCTTAGAAACTGTTCCTTTCCTTTGCAACATGGACAGCACGCAGGAAAAAGCCGCTGTCGCCATAGTGACCCCAGGTGTGTGCTTCCTGTCCCCTCCCCGCCAGGGCATCATTGCCGAGTACAACAAAATCAACGACGTCAAGGAGGACGACGACACGGAGAAGTTTAAGGAGGCCATCGTGAAGTTCCACCGGCTGTTCGGGATGCCCGAGGAGGAGAAGCTGGTCAACTACTACTCCTGCAGCTACTGGAAGGGGAAGGTCCCCCGCCAGGGCTGGATGTACCTCAGCATCAACCACCTTTGCTTTTACTCTTTTCTCATGGGCAGGGAAGGTAAGTCATCTCGAATTCCAGAGGGCAGCTTCGGAGAGTCTCCCGAGGTTCGCCCTGAGCTCATACACCACGTCAAAAATAGCAAAAATAAATCTATAGTGGCCCTGGCTGGCGTAGCTCAGTGGATTGAGCACGGGCTGCGAACCAAAGTGTCGCAGGTTCAATTCCCGCTCAGGGTACATGCCTAGGTTGCAGGCCATGACCCCCAGCAACCGCACATTGATGTTTCTCTCTATCTCCCTCCCTTCCCCTCTCTAAAAATAAATAAATAAAATCTTAAAAAAAAAACAACAACACAAAGACAACTCTTAAAAAAAATAAATCTATAGTTATGGCTGGGTCAGCTTTGTCTTTTAACTATTCAACAAGTGAATTTCTTTAGTTCAATATATGTAAAAACTATGGCCATCCAGTAGTAAAGATTCACCGAAGGTGTGACTGATGTAGTAGACGTGGACGTAAACGGATGATGATGATGATGCACTCAGGATTCACGTGGTCTGAATTTGTCCCGTAATGAGCAAACGCAATGACGACAGACGTGGGCACCCGGACGCGAAGCTGTTCAGCGCCACCGGGAGTTGGGGGTGTGAGGTCTCGCAGTGTCTCGGAGGGATTTTCAGGGGCCAGGGGCTGACCAAGCCTTGTCCCCCGCATGCGCAGCCAAGCTGGTCATCCGCTGGGTGGACATCACTCAGCTGGAGAAGAACGCCACGCTGCTGCTGCCCGACGTGATCAAGGTGAGCACGCGCTCCAGCGAGCACTTCTTCTCCGTCTTCCTCAACATCAATGAGACCTTCAAGCTCATGGAGCAGCTTGCCAACATAGCCATGCGGCAGCTCCTGGACAACGAGGGCTTCGAGCAGGACCGGTCCCTGCCCAAGCTGAAGAAGAAGTCTCCTAAAAAAGTGTCCGCTCTTAAACGGTAGGTGACAGGGGCGGGGTCTTTCAGACTTTGGAAACAAGAAACCCATCTATGCGCTTTATGAAACGTGATGGTTTCTGAACACCTCAAGGGTGCCGAACACTTTCCAGGGCATAGACACAAACATGGGAAAGGTGCTCTGTGGCCCTCACAGCACAGTGAGTGGGGCAGGCGTGGCCGGTCCTCCTGGCCCCGTGAGCAGCATGCCGAGGGCACACACACATGGGGAGATGGGGCAGAGGGTGGGCAAGGCCTCTCAGGGGAGGCTTCTGGGAGCTGGAGTCTCGGGGGTAGTAGACGCTGCCTTCAGGTTCGGCAGGTGGCTGTTGCCAGCAGAAGGAACAGCACGAGGGGGAAGCTCAGAGGGAGGGAAGCCCAGAGACCGCGGAGCAGCCTGGATGTGTGGCTGTGGAGGAGGAGTGAGAGAAAGTGCGGGGAACGGTGAGACTCCGCAGTGTGACCGTAAGCCTGCAGCTGCCCTAAGCTGAGGTGGGGAGTGAGAGGGATGAGCACGTCCAGGGATGTGAGAGCTCAGTCTTGTCCTGTCCGGGTGTGTCACCCACAGGACAGCCAGGTGGAGACTGGACAGGTAGCCTGGGGAACTGGAAATCTCTGGCCTATGGCCGGTAGTAGGAACCCAACAAAGGTCACCACCGCAGGGAAGGTGTCTTTGGCGACTGCAGACGTGTCTCAGCAGAGTGGTGGAGGATGAATGGGGTTGCTGCAGGGGATTAAATAGCGAATGAAGGCAGGGGAACGAGGCAAGGGCGGGCTGGTTTTTGAAGAAATCCAGTGGTGCAGGTGGGGCGCTGCTCTTTTCAGAATGGGGAAGATTGGAACACAGGACAGGATGGGAAGAGTGTGTTGATGAAGGTGGGTGCAGGGACAGGAGATAAAAGTCCACCTGGAGATAAAAGTATAAGGAAACAACTTGAAAGGGGACATCTTACAGGGCATAGAAGAGGGCGCTTCTGTGTGCAGCCATCTGTCCTGCTGAGACAGGGAGAGGAAGTAAGAGGAGCGGGGATGGAGGTAATTTTGGAGACAGAGGGAGAGAGCTCCTGCTGGGCGCTCTGCGCTGGGAAGCCGGGAGCTAGACCACCAAGAGGCCAGGGCCGGGCAGAGCTGAGAGGAGAGGCTGTAATGACCTGCAGGATGAACAGGACAGAGGAAGTCGGGGACAGGGTGCAGCTGGCAGGGGCCCCAGCCGAGGCTGGGAATGGGAGGTGTCCCTCGGGAGGGTTGTTCCTGAACCGCATGCCATTTCCTTGCCTATGTCGGGTGGACGGGGACACCAGCAGGCTCAGGAGGCTCATTTGCATTCTCACCAGGACTTTCTTAGAGGCCAAGCCTACCCTCTCCCCTCCCCAAATGGCTCTGGAGAAGTATAAATGTAAACATCTCTGTAGAAATAAATTGTTGTTATTCCTTTAGAAAAAGAATGAATTTCTGTCCAGGCCTAGTTTCCCTCAGATTCTTGAACATTTGCACATAGTGACCGTAAACTGACTACACAAGAGACCTAACTGTATTAAAATAATTTTATTGCACTTTTGGGTCCTAGGTAGGTATTAGCACCAGCAGAAAGCCAAGAAAGTAGGGCCAAGCCCTGCAGGATGGAGGCGGGGAGGGGTAGGCGGGGACCCCCCTCATGGCCATGCCATCTGGAAAGCAGGGAGACACTTCTTCCTCGAGAGGTGAGTGGTTGTCACTCTTTTCCAGCGACCTGGACGCCAGGGCCAAGAGCGAGAGGTACCGAGCCCTCTTCCGGCTGCCCAAGGACGAGAAGTTGGACGGCCACACGGACTGCACGCTCTGGACCCCGTTTAACAAAATGCACATTTTGGGGCAAATGTTCGTGTCCACAAACTACATCTGCTTTACCAGCAAGGAGGAACACCTGTGCAGCCTCATCATCCCGCTGCGGGAGGTAAGCGTTGGGCGAAAGTGGATATTTCACGTTTCATCGGTAGTACTTTTCCATGTGGACCAGGAATATCCTTACCAGACACTGGCTGGCCTTTAACCAAAGTGAGTGCTCGTGGTGATTTGGTGACACCTGCCACCCTTCCGTGTGTAGCCAATGATCGGAGGGAGGGTGGGACCTGCGAGGGTTCTCCTTCCAGTGGCAGCCTCGTGTGTACAGTGGAGATTCCATTATTGTTCAGGTATGGGGAAGCCGGCAGGTGACTGCCACCAGATCGTTCCCTTGGAACAGTAAGCCCACAACACCGTATACGGGTGATACATTACAGAATTGTACAACTGAAACCTATATAATTTTATTAACCAATGTCACCCCAGTAAAGTGAATGAATGAATGAAATAGTAAAATCAAAAAAGGAAGAAGGAAAAGACAGATCGTTAGACTCACAGATCCTACAGGGAGGAGCGCTGGGGCTCCCTGGGGTCGGCAGCACCAGGGCCGGTCGGCAGACAGACACTGGGTCAGAGTATGTATTGCGGTTCCCAAGGGAAGGAACAACAGAGGCAGGTAAACAGGCACGGTACCGACTGGCCTGGATAATTTCAGTGGGCTCTGGGGCATAGGGGCTGTTCCTAGTGATCTGGTCTGCAGCCCTGGGGTTTAGGGCAGGTGGACAGTGGTCCTGACTGGAGTGGGAGAGCTGGACAAAGGAGGTGGCCGGGGTGAGGGTTCTGGAGGGGCTGGTTTGCTTGTGAAAGGCCTGCTCCCCAGGGAGTCTGTAGGAGTGTGTAACTCTGGAAGAGTGGTCCTGCTGGGGTCTGCAAGGTGTCAAAGCATCAAATACAGAACCTAGAAAATGCCGTTATTATACCTGGCTCACAGCCCAAGAGCAGCTGGGTTTAAAGGAGACGGTTGTGAATCAGGAAGCCCCGTGTTGTTTCCATATGGCCCTCCGGTGCCCAGCACAGTGTCCACCAGGGCCACGGACCACAGGGCAGACTCCTGCGCCCACCCCAGAGCTGCCGAGTCTGAGTCCCGGCAAGTTCTAGAATCTGGGTTTTAATAAAGTCCTGGGCCAACTGTCATGTGCACTAAGACCAAGAAGCATTTGCGTTGTGTCTGGGGCGGGCGAAGCTTCCATCACGCCTTCCCAGTGGTGCTTGAGTGGAAGCCCTGCTGGGGGGTGGGGGGAGAGGGGACTCCCGGCGGGGATGTCAGGGGCTGGCCGTCCTGCGGCTTCGGACCTGGGGACTTTCAGCCTACCCCGGTCCTTTTCTGGAAGTGAAAAAGCTTTGGTGGTTCCGATGGGCCCTTGGCTAGGATTCCCGGTAGTAAAGGATTCAAGTGTCTCTCAGCCTTCTTTTCTTTTTTTAAAAAAAATCATTTATGTAAGCAATTTTTCTTCTTTGTTTTTGTTTTAAGAATAATGCAGCACTGCCACAGAAAATGTGTAGAAGTGCAGAGAAATAAAAAGAGAACAAAGTTCACCCCTCATCCCACCATCAGAGCCCACCCCCGGAAACATTCAGATGAGCTGATTTCTGTGTATATGTTACCGATGTCATTTAGTTTGAAACAAAGGGAATTTTTAACTTTTGCTTATTTCCTTTGACAGAGAGCATGTATTTAAACTTCCCTAGATCACTAAATAATCTTCTGTGATGTAATTTCTAATTACTACACACTATTTCATTAAATAGATATATACTTGATAGGTTCAGTTACCTATGACTGGACCTTTGCATTACTTTTAGTTTTCTCCCAATTATATGTACACTTTTCTTTAAATTATAAACTCCTAGAAGCTGAATTGGTGGACTAAAAAGAATGGAAAATGTCAAGCAAGTGACACATCTAGTTTCTCTGAACAGGAGGAGCTCACTGGTACGACAGCACTTTCAGAGGCCAAGGTGCTTTGCTGGTGGTGAGTTCTGAGGTGGGAAATTCGACAGCATTTACATTTGACTCTGAAATGGATTTCAGAGCTTTTCCACCTAACTTACCTTTTTTGCCGTAACCTGCCCCTAACCTAATTTTCCTCGTCGAGTACTACCTGAGTGTCATAGGGCAGAGCCACCTGGAACAGGTAGGGAATCCAGCATCTTGGCATCAGCCGTGTATCGTGGACGCGCTGTTCATGAACCTGAGCGAGCCCTTGCTTCTCGTCCCAGAGGGAGACGGGTCACGAGGGCCCGCAGGTGCAGGCAGGACGTCTGCTCTCCTGCTCACCCCCGGCCGAGGGTGTGGGGCCAGCAGCTGAGTTTACGTCTCAGTGCAGTCACAGTGCCGTGGTGAGCACCGGGCGGGCGGGCGGGCGGGCTGGCGAGTGAGCAGGGAGGGCGGGGATGGGTAGTCCCGGCCCACCTTCCGCCTCCGGGTTTCCTGGCGGGTGGCGGGGCGGAGATGACTCCATCCGCGGTGAGTCAGAGCAGGGGCAGCAGTGGAGTGGCCTGTAGAGAGAGAGCGTGTTTTAGTTGGAGGACGCAGCTTTGAAGAAACACCCAGCAAACCCGCAGGGCCCTCCCCGTCACCTGGCGAGTCTCTGAGCCGTATTCACAGTGGGGCCCTCACCCGACTAATGGAAGAAACGAAGGACTTAATGTACTTTTTATTGCCTTTCGGTAATGGTAATCCTACGGCCCAGGGGTGGGCCCCACCTCCTTCCGGGATCTGTTGGAGAGTGGCTTCTCTGTGGCCTGGGCACCTTGAGGGTCTGAGTTGAGCCAACAAGTCAGCAGGGGCCCCCATGGGAAGGTTATATTCTATTTAGCATGGCCATTTTTAGCCTTAGATAGACTAGGAATTGTTTAATTTTTGACAACTAAACAGAAATACTGACTGGAGATTATTAACACATATTGCACATCTACACTAACAGTAGACCAAATCGACAGACGGTGAACGATTACACAGATTCCCGTTGCTACAGATTTTGGAGAAATTTCCGAGGCAGCAAAGCTGGGCGATGAAGTGAACTAATCAGGTTCCTCATTAGATAGAGATTCCAGATGAAGCCTTTTTTTTAAAAAAAAAAAATCATAAATCACTTTGTAAATGTTCCATATTAAACTCCGAGACTTGATTAAGTTCCAGCCCATCTTATAATCCAAGGTAATGAAAATGGGTTTCATTAAACCATAGAATACAAGCACGCAGCTGTCACTGTTTCCCAGGCACAAAGCTTACGCGTTACAAATCCAGTAGAACCCATTTGTTAGTGACAGATCTTTTCTAACCTGTGTGAGCATTCATATATTTTATGTGGGAGGTCGCTGGTTACTTCTACATTGATGATCCAGCCAGATCAAGACTTTCCACTTGGACTTTATCAAGATCCACTTGGCCCAAGGGTTTTGAGTCCAGAACTTGGACCCTTAATCCCCTTGGCGGTCTGTCATTGAGTCCTGACGCCTGGGGGCCAAAAGAATCAGAAAAAAATTTGTTGTGAGAAAAGGAGCTTTTATTTATGTATTTATTTTTGTGTGTATGTTCTGCAAGTGGGACTGCTCTTAGAAAAGGAGCTTTTAAGAATAAGCATTATTTAACATGCCCTAAGAGTCATGGGAAAATCTGTTCGTGAGAAAGAGGAGTTTTACCCCCATTTCCCTAGCTTCGTTTTTTGCATCAGGGAGAAAATGAGAGCCTTGTGTGCAGCTCCATCCAAGCATTCCAGAGGAGTCCTTTAAAATACATATCTAACTGTATGTACTTATAAAACCCGAGAGCAGAAGTCGGGTCCTGCAACTTGTCCCTTTGTGGGTTCCAGACTCGGCCCCTTTGCACGAGGGCCCTGAAAGGCAACGCCCAACAGGCTCCTTAGCCTTTAGAGGGAGAGAAAAGTTGTAAAAACTCTGCCTTGAAGGAATGTATTTCACAGGAACATGCTGGTGAAGGGGTTGGAGTGGGACCTGTCTAGACTGCTCGCAGGCAGAAATCAAGAGGGGGGCGAAAGCTTTAATTATATCACCAGAGCCGCTGCAAATACACCATTTATCTAGGGCTTGCCTTGAGGTTTTCTTTTTCCCTAATGTGCTAGGGCAAAAAGTTTTAATGCACTCATCCTAGTTTCCAGTTGATGAAAATCCTATTATAAACCACCAAATGTGTGTCTTCAGAGCTAAAACACATGTCTCCCTTTTGTTCAGTACCTCTCCTGATGTGGTTGACTTCTCTCTCTCTCTCTCTCTCTCTCTCTCTCACACACACACACACACAGTCCCCTAGTGCAGATGGGGTTGCAGTGAAGCTGTTTACATCCTGTCCAGACTCAAGCCTTGAAAACACTGAAGGGGTAGGGGGTGAAGGCGGCAAAGCCCCGGGGTCCAAATGAGATGTTTGAAGGATGGCCAGTGTTTTCAAAACCATCCCAACGTTCAGCTTGGTAAAATGAATCAGGATCAGGACTGTTTTCTGTCTCATATGCATAATGCAGCAGCCAGGAGTCCTCTCCTTTATGGCACCATGAAACTTTAATGAAAATCAAAGCATTCTTTCACAACCAGGTTTCTCAGCCCTGGCCCTGTGGACGTCCTGGGCTGGACCTGGTTGGGGGCAGGCTGTCCTGTGCATGGTACGTTGCCTAGCAGCATCCTGGCCTCTCTCTACGAGATGCCAGCTGCACCCTCCACTGTGACAACCAAGGATGCCTCCAGATGTGCCCAGTGTCTCCTGGGGCATAACATCTCTCTCAGTGTGGAGGTAATGGCTTAGAAAAACAAGCAAGATGATCCTAGCTTCTGGTATGAGCTGCAGTTTGATTTGCTGTTGGATTGGTTGGAACAGAGTCAGAGAATGTCAGTTCGCTTCAGAAAGGTCTGAGTGGTTCCTACAGAAGGTGAAAGAGCTGCGAGGCTCCCTTAGTGCTGGTCAGGGGCTGCTGCTGGGCAGTCCCTGCAAAGTGACGCTTTCTGTTTCCCGTCTCTGTTCAGGTGACAATTGTAGAAAAGGCGGACAGCTCCAGTGTGCTCCCCAGTCCCTTATCCATCAGCACCAGGAACCGGATGACTTTCCTGTTCGCCAATTTGAAAGACAGAGACTTTCTGGTGCAGAGGATCTCCGACTTCCTGCAACAGACGACCTCCAAAATATACTCAGACAAAGAGTTTGCGGGGAGCTACAACAGTTCGGACGACGAGGTCCGTGGAAGTTTGGGTTCGCCCTGTTCCTGAAGGGTTCACCTCCTGGCCCGTTTTGCTTGACCTTCAGGCTTGGCCACTGAGCTAGGATTACACCACCTGCACTCGTGCCAAGAGCAGCGTGTCATTTAAATCCCGTGGAGCGTGTACTGGGGACCGTAGAGCTGAGCAGAACCTCACAGATCATCTGATCTAAACTTCTTATTTTGTGGTGGAAGAGTTATTAAGTCCTTTGTCCTGGCTATACAACAAGTGGCTCTGGCCCATGTAGCAACATTGTCAGGAACGGGACCTGGAAGATAATGTCACTAGCTCAAGTCACAGAGCAAGTTACTGGCAGCTAAAACATGTTGTAAAAATAATGAGCTGACAAGTAACATTCCTGTCCCTGGGCCCCTGCCCCCGGCGTCTGTGGGCATTTTGCAGGCACTGGCAACTGGAGAGGAGGGGAGGGAGGTGGTCCCATGAGCAGCTGACTCAACCACAGCATGCTTTGCATACATGCCAATCAGATAGACAAATGGCCAACTGATTCATTGCAAAAATGCTGCTGAAATCCAGGGAAAACCTCCTTTGAGGACAGAAGTTCTCTAGCCTGTGGCCCATGTGCCTGTCTAATTTCCACCAAAACGCTGGCTTGCGGCCATCCTTCCATTCTTTGCAAAGCAAGAAACATCCTGGGAACCGTGACATAGCCCTTGTTATCTGTAGGGCACACCACAGGGCTGCTGGCCAAACCCGCCCTGTCTGCAGTGTCTTGTTCCTGTCTGCAGTGTCTTGTTCCTGTCTGCGTCTGCAGGTGTATTCCCGGCCCAGCAGCCTCGTGTCCTCCAGCCCCCAGAAAAACTCGAGCTCTGATGCCGAGGGGGAGCGCCAGTTTAACCTGAACGGCAACAGCGTCCCCACGGCCACGCAGACCCTGATGACCATGTATCGGCGGCGGTCCCCCGAGGAATTCAACCCGAAATTGGTGGGTCCCCCCTGCTTTCCCCAAAGCTCTCATTAGATATGCATGTGAATAGACATTTTCCTATATGGACACCAGATCCTGTCTCAATGAGTCATTAGGTTTCAGAGTGGCTTTTCATGGGTAGAGTCATAGAGGGTACGGGCGACATTTTTGTGTCTTGATTTCACAGTTGTTTAAGTCGACCAACAGAGAAGTTCCCAGCGCACATTTAAAAAACATAACTTACTCTGGCTTGGAGACATAGACATGAAAGCATTAACGTAACTTGCATTCTGCTGACCTGCCTCGGGGGAGAGGAGTCTGACTCGGGGCCAGAAAGCTTCGTGGCAGACCCGCAGGACGTGATCGATGGGTCAGATGAGGGGAGGACGCCCCAAGAGCTGAGCGCTTTGTTCTCAGGGGATCTGTCCCGACCTTCGCCGCTCCAGTCGCTAGGGAGAGTGTCCCGACTTTGCATCGAACTTCCCTGTGTCCTCGAAGTACTTTGGGATGTAGTCACGCGTCACTATCCCTTTCAGGCCAAGGAGTTTTTGAAGGAGCAAGCCTGGAAGATTCACTTCGCCGAGTACGGGCAGGGGATCTGCATGTACCGCACGGAGAAGACGCGGGAGCTGGTGTTGAAGGGCATCCCAGAGAGCATGCGCGGCGAGCTCTGGCTGCTGCTGTCAGGTACGGCCGCGCTGGGACCGGGCAGCGCCGGCCCCGGGTCTGCGGGACCATGGGGCTCCCCCTCACCCCCAGTCACACGCGAGGGCTCTTTCAGACATGCAACCCCAGTGCAGAGCTAAATCTCCTTTCCTGGCCAGAGTGTTGGAGTCCCTTGGTGAAAATCCAGGACGCATATTCAGTGATCCAAATATCGAAGCCTCCTCCACCCTTGAGTCCTGATAGCCTCTTCTATTTCTTCACTAACATTATTTAGGAAAATAAAAAGAACTCAGAAGGGATAGAGTATCATCCTCTGTGATTTGGGGCATCCTTTTTCCTGTCCCAGCTGTGCCAACATCATCGATCATGTTCAAGTGTGTGGCACGTGGTCAGGGCCGTCACTGGGGTGGAGAGAGGGAGGAAATGGGAGGAGTCAGGAAACCTTGTCCTTGACTTTGGCCACCGCCTGAGTTTATGGTTATCACTGGAGACGAAGGGGGCACCAGAGTCTGCGCCAGAACTGAAAGCCCTCACAAACCATACTCAGGCTCCCAGCGGGAGATGTCAGGAAGGGCAGAGCGGACGAGTCGTGGCCCTGTGGGAAAGATGTGGCCCCTTTCGCTGGTCCACCAGCCATGCTGTTGCCGGAACGGGACCCTGCAGGTCAGCCCTGGAGCGCTGCAGCCTGCAGGTCCTCCGGGCCCCTTCCTCCCAGCCCAGTCTGTCCCAGAGCCCGGGGCTTCCTGCAGCTGTCATCGTCTTTAATGTGTGAGTCAGTTGCTCTGCTGGGGCAGAGGCTTGACATGTAATCATCCCAAACAGGGGGATGTGAATATTTTAATTTGAACCCAAGGTGGTCTGACTCTAGTGCTGTTAGCAAAGCCTTTCATTTTAAAAGTGACATTAAAATCAGAAGAGTTTCCCAACTTACAGGAAAAACTTACCAAAAAAAAAAAAATTCCTCACCGCGCCTCCTAAAAGCAGATGTCAATGGTAATTGCCCATAATGAGATGTAGTATCATCTCAGAAGTAGTGCGACAGAATCCTGAAAAATAATTGGCTTTACGTGTTCCATGTAGAACCAGTCTGTTCTGTCTTCGCTGGCAGGTCTCGCTTTTCATTTCCTGGAGTAGAGCAGCCACAGCCCCTCGCTTAGAACCCAAACCCGATCCTCACTGTCCCGCCCCGTGTCTTCCCAGGTTCGCAGAGCCAGTCACCCCAAACCCCTGATCCAGATCGCTGACAGAGAGAACAAAACATTCCCTTTTCATTTTCCTTATTCAAATTGGAAGTTATATTTAGCTCATTGTAGACCAAAAAAAAAACCCTTGAAACGAGCACTAGGAAACAGCATGCAACAGCACATTGCCGCAGAGACGCGGAGTTAGACCCAGTGTCTGTTCTCTGACTGATGAGCTTCGAGAGGCCGCCAGAGGCTGAGTGGTCCACACGCCGCCTTGACTGGGCAGATAACCAGCCCGGCTCCTGTTTCCAGCCTGTTCCCAGGGAGAAGGGGAGGCGACACGTGGAAGCCAGCTTGCTCCTCCAGAGAACCAACTCCCTATAGGGGCGCCCCACCTGGGTCCTGCCCTGCTTCCCACGGCCCTTAGGGCCCAGTGTTTGCCCAGCCCTGTGTCCCCACTGAGGGGACGTGCAGGCCAGACAGCAGCGAACCCTCGCAGATCTCCCGGGAGAACAGCCGGAGCCAGTGTTGAGTGTCTGTCGGCCAGACGGCCTCATCCAGGGCAAACGTGAGAGGCAGTGCCGGCTCTCTGGGTGACCTTCAGGGACAAGGACAATGGGACAGCCCAGGGACTCTAATTTCTAATCGGGGAAATGTGAATGAGTATATAGGTGTATGTTTTCACACGCACACATATATACACATGTTATATAACATAAATATGTGTGTATATTTTGTATATATATGTATGCATATGTAGTTTATACTTTATATAAATTATATAACTTACAGAAAAGTATAATTTATACTTACATAAATTACATATAATTATATTTGGGTTTAGAAATTTGTGTACAGGGCTTTTCTCTCTCTCTCTTTTTGATTTTATTTATTTATTTTTAGAGAGGGAAGTGAGGGAGATAGAAAGAGAGGGAGAAACATCAATGTGCGGTTGCTGGGGGTCATGGCCTGCAACCCAGGCATGTGCCCTGACTGGGAATCGAACCTGAGACACTTTGGTTTGCAGCCCAAGCTCAATCCACTGAGCTACGCCAGCCAGGAGGCTTTTCTCTCTTGAAGAATCTGAAACGGACATCTCTCCGCCCCCCCCCCCCAGGGCTCCCTCCCAAGCAGTGGCTCACTGCTGCTAGAAATCCCCGCACCCCGCAATCTAACAATCCCTCCACCTATCCCGTCACCTCCCCTCCATACAGCTTCATACTCCTCAGTAGGGCTATTTAAGGTCTTCAGAGCTTACATTTGGCAGTTTTCAGACTTGTTCTGAGGAGCAAAATCTCCCTTTTCAAGCGAGCGCTTACGGGAAACCCCACTAAGGAAAGAGAGGGGGAAGGGAGGGCTGAGGCCCCTAGCTCAGCTTGCTCCGCGGGCACCTTGCTCTGCTGCTCGGCAGCGCCCCCTCGGGGTGGTCTGCGGAAGTGGCTCGGACACCGCTGCTCAGCTGGGAGACCTCCGCCTGCAAGAGGTTTTTAAACAGCCAGCTTGCTGTGGAGCTGAGACGAGAGGGGCCCCATCCAAGTGTCCGCGTGAGCCGGGGTTGCAGCGCACCACGTTACCCGTGGGGCTGCATTGGCCTTTCGCACGTGTCCTCCGAATGGTCTGGAAAGTGAAGAGGTCCCTTGGGTAAGCTGAGGCTGTAGACCAAGGACAGGACTCCCGCTTTTTGATGTGGTGTCTGTTGGGTGTTTCCCAGGGGCCATCAATGAGAAGGCCACGCACCCTGGGTACTACGGGGACCTGGTGGAGAAGTCCATGGGGAAGTACAACCTGGCCACAGAGGAGATCGAGAGGGACTTACACCGCTCCCTCCCAGAACACCCTGCTTTCCAGAACGAGATGGGCATCGCTGCTCTGCGGAGGGTCTTAACGGCTTACGCTTTTCGAAACCCGAACATAGGGTACTGCCAGGTAAACGGCTCAGACGGTCTGCACTGGTGATTGTTGTACTGGCTCCTGAGTGATAGGGGAGGCTGGGTGGTCGTGAGCATTGTCACTTCACTGCAGCCGGCGTTCTCGGCCTCGGCACTGCTGGCGTGGTGGGCTGCGTCATTCTTTGTGCGGGGCCGTCCTGTGCTTTGTGGGATGTTGAATGACATGCCTGTGCACTAACATGTTGAGCAGCATCTACCCACTAAATGCCAGTAGAGCCTCCCGTGGACACTGCCAGACGCCCCCTGCAGGGCAGCGTCTTCCGGCGGAGAACCACTGCGCCCGAGCAGAGGAGCCGGGAGACGCGAGCGCCCTCACTAGACTCACTGCGGTACAGCAGGGTGACCTCAGAAAACCCCTTGCGGGCTCTCTGACCCAGACTCCCCTCCCCACCCCACCGGGTCTCGGCGATCCCGCCCGAGCGAGCGCCGGGCCTTTCATCGTGCACCCTAGCTCCCGTGGCGCTCCTGCTCTGCTCCCCGCCCCCCCCCCCCCGGCAGTCCTGTCCTGAAGAATATAGCTCGTATGTGCTGTGGTTACAGTTTAGCACACAGCAAATTTAAAAAACTGAAAGAAAACAAACACTAAATTTGATGTAAAAACTGTGTCGCCCCACATTCCAACCAGAAGTATGTCTTGCACTAGCACAGATCCCACAACCGAGAAAGCTCCGAGACAACGTGGCCTTTACAAAGGCCTTCCCTGGCCGTCTGGAGAAACGCTGAAGGTTTATCCCTCTGCACACACACAGGCGTGCCAGGTCCCCACGCTGTTCTCTCGGTTGGAGAGTGCAGTTTATACACACCCCCAAGGTGATCAGCTAACTTCTGCATCTTATTTCCTCTCTCTGACTCCAACATTTAAGCCCTGTGAGAAGTGCCACCACTGTGGTCCCCGCCCCCCGCCCCCACCCCCCCAATACCTAGTCCAGAATCTGTTACAAAGTAGAACCGTAAGAAAACTTACCTGGACCGAATGACTGAGGAGCCAGCCAGGGCCACAGTCAGGTCACGGAGCAGAACGGCCTGGTTAGTTTTCAAGTGGAATTCTAGTAATGACTTCATCTGGGAAAACACTTGAGTAAGACCTACTACAGGAAAGTGCCTATTAGGACCAACGCTCCTTTTTTGACATTTGCATTGTAGAAACCTGATGAACCGTTACTGGTTTCTAGGAGATCAAAGAAGTCCAGGAGTTAGTTGGCTTCTGATGTAATGGAGTTCATATTTATCTTTTGATCTGCCTTTTTTCATTAAGAGGACTATTAAAGTACGTGAGCCTTATGACTCCTTCTGAGCTATCTGATAATACCTTTTAATAAAGTAGGCTACTCTAGAATTTAAGTCACAGCACTTATCACCGTCTTCTTGGTCCAGATGGAAAGAATGGGCCAGGGCTCTGAGTTTAAATGGTTTCATTGTTCTCCGAGGAGAGCCTTAAGGCAGGTGTACCTGGTTATAGAAATTATTACTATGGTTGAAAAGAAAGTCTGTACCTCACTGAATTAAGGATTAAAACTCTGAGAGTTTAGCAAGTTAAAAGCTTTGTCAAATAGCCTTTGGGCAAAGGTTTTGAATGAGGGTTTTGCTGTCTCCCTGAAGGACCCCAAATGGTTACAGGGCAAGGACTGAAGCAGGTTTACATTTTTAAAGGGTTGTGAACAAAACAAACCTCAAAAGACTCTGTGTGTGTGTGTGTGTGTGTGTGTGTGTAGTTCACAAAGTCCTTAGATATTTTTGTACCTGGGCTTTTACAGAAAGAGCCTGCTGGCCCCTGTGAGACTAAGTCAGTGATGGTTTAGGTTAACAAACCGCTCATCTGGTGGCATGTGTTTGATGACCTCCCTTGCCTTCTGGCAGGCCATGAATATTGTCACATCGGTGCTGCTGCTCTACGCCAAAGAGGAGGAGGCGTTCTGGCTGCTGGTGGCTCTGTGCGAGCGCATGCTCCCCGATTACTACAACACCAGAGTGGTCGGTACGTGGGCATGGGCCCAACGTCTTAATGCGGGTCTCACCAAGAAGCTGTTTCTGGGGCCGGTACTGGCTGGAACATAGTTTCCAGGCACCAGCAGCCAAGGGCGCCAGACTACCCCAGTTCCCAAAGTGGGGATGAGAGGCTTGGTCCGTACGGGTTGTATGTACAGCAGCCCCTCGGAACTTAAGAGAATACATACCCATCTCTGTTATGAAAATTCTTTTAAAACCTAGTTGATGTGGGTGTCACTCTGTGACCCAGGACCAACCTCACTGACCATCAACCCAAAAGGTCTGGCAAAAAGTTTTTCACGCAGAGGATAGAATCTGTGGAAAGTGGAAGTGTCCAGAAAGGGCTCTCTGGAGTGGACAAACGAGCCTATAACAGCTTGTCCAGAAACCGAGTTTCCGAGGTGTTTCTTCAGAACCGGTTTCACTGCGGAGCAAACGACACCCGTGAGCATTCACACAACATGTGGCGGCTGCTCTGCTCCTCCCCGCAAGTGTTAGACGTTCGTGCTGGCAGGACTGGCTTTTTGCGGGCGGCGTAGTCCAGTGCAGGCTTTGAGCTTTCCCCTCATGTTCTGTCTTCGCTCATAAACCTGTGCGCCCTCATTGGATTCACTGAAACTATTCTCCAGAAATGTAAGTGGATCATGAATGTGTACAGCTGGCATGCATTTACATTTTTTTTAAAAAGTCAGTTAGAAAATAATTTGTATGTGGTGGCCATACATCCAGAAATGCAATTTAAAAAATAAAAATAAGAGTTTGCTGAGACATGGAACCACTCAGATATACATTTCATGCCCAACCAAAAATGTTGCAACAAAGTAACTGATTGTCCTGCAGTCTTTGTAAACTGACTTTCTCAGCAACCCTCCTAGTGGTCATATTATTGCTTTTTATGGTGAGGAAAGCGGGGCATCAAGACCCAGAAAGAGGAGATGCAGCCAGAACCAAGCTGGTGACTGGGCTGTGTTGACACTTTGGTCTTAACATAGTAACATAGTAACTAGTAACATAGAAACATTGCAACATAGTAACTACTAACAAAAACATAGTAACATGTAACATAGTAACTAGTAACATGCAGTAACACCAGGACAGTTACAGGAGGGAGCAGAGTTCTGTCAGCAGCAAGCATGAACTGGACTATTTTAGTCCAGCCATTTTCTGGGGTGCATAAGAAAGGGTAGGGGGTTCACTCAGCGTCCTCGTGCCCACCCTGCTGCAGGTGCGCTGGTGGACCAGGGTGTCTTCGAGGAACTGGCTCGCGACTACGTCCCCCAGCTCTATGACTGCATGCAGGACCTGGGCGTGATTTCCACCATCTCCCTGTCTTGGTTCCTCACCCTGTTTCTCAGCGTGATGCCCTTTGAGAGCGCCGTTGTGGTTGTTGACTGTTTCTTCTATGAAGGAATCAAGGTGATATTCCAGCTGGCGCTGGCTGTGCTGGATGCCAATGTGGACAAACTGCTGAACTGTAAGGACGACGGGGAGGCCATGACCGTTTTGGGAAGGTAGCGTACTAAGGCTCCTTGAAAACCACATCTGGTTCTTCCTTGTATTGGGTTGGCCAAAAAGTCTGTTTAGTTTTTAGCATAAAATAAAAGATGCATTTTTCATTTTCACCAATACATTTATTGATTTGGATATTTTGAGTATGTCAGCTCTCTCCCGCGTGGTATAACATTGATTGTTCTCAATTAATGTCTCAATTTGATCGCCATCAACTTCAACTGGTCTGCCCATCCTTGGAGTATCATCCAGCAAGAAACCTCCAGCACAAGAGTTTGCAAACCGCTTTTGACATGTTGGATCAGCCACAGCACCTTCTCCATCCTCTGCACACATCTTTTCTTTTGTGTTTCAGTTGGAGTTTTACCTTTCTTGAAATAATAAAGCATGATATGCAAAAATATCGTATATCTTCTTCCATCTTCAGTATTAAAAAGGCTACAGAAAAATCCACCAATTTTGATAAGTTCTTTTAAATGCACACTGATATGACAGCTGTCACAGTACAATCTAACAAAATTGTTTCGAATGAAGTTAAAGACAACGAAATGCTACTAGAGCCGTCATATGGAAAAAAAGCAAATGAACTTTTTGGCCAACCCAGTATTTCCAGGGGTGTCTAACTCCCGGCCCCCAGGCCCCGTGCAGCCCAAGAAAGCTAGGAATTCGGCCCAACACAAAATTGTAAATTTACTTAAAACTTTTTTTTTTTTGCTTATCAGTTGTCATTAGTGTTTGTGTATTAAATGTGTGGCCCAAGACTCTCACATTTTCCCAGCGTGGCCCAGGGACACCCAAGGTTGGACATCCCCGCTGGTCTGTGTTCTGGGTGTCACAAGTCTTACCTGGCTTGGTTCCCACTTCCCTTGGTGACTGAGGATTTATTTTCATATGCGTTGTTTTTTTTTTTTTTAAATTGAGATAATTTCACTCTGTTCTTAAGGACATTCTAGTCTTTTTTTTTAAGATTTTATTTATTTATTTTTAGAGAGGGAAGGTGAGGGGGAGAGAGAGAGAGAGAGAGAGAGAGAGAGAGAGACATCAATGTGCGGTTGCTGGGGGTCATGGCCTGCAACCCAGGCATGTGCCCTGACTGAGAATCGAACCTGCGACACTTTGGTTCGCAGCCTGCGCTCAATCCACTGAGCTACGTCAGCCAGGGCTGACATTCTAGTCCTTTGTGCGGTCGGAGTTTGCAGGAAATGCGTGGAGAACTGTAATGGGAGAATTCCGGCTCGGCCACCCAGTGACGCCCCGTGCGTTTCCTCTTCCAGGTACCTGGACAGCGTGACCAATAAAGACAGCACGCTGCCCCCCATCCCTCACCTCCACTCCCTGCTCAGCGACGACGTGGAGCCCTACCCCGAGGTGGACATCTTCCGGCTCATCAGAACTTCCTACGAGGTGGGTCCGCTCTCCTGGCTCGGCGTCTCGGCGCTCCGAGTGCTGCCGGGAGGGGGTCAGCTGGACGTGTGCCGCACGCTTCACGGCTGACCCTTGGGGTGGGGGGTGTCTGGGTCCTGTGACCTGCTGAGAACTAGTTGCTGCAGCAGGTAGCTACCCTCCGGCTGGCAGCTTTGAGCTGCAGAGGTGGAGGACTCCGAACGGGGCCTGTGACTTCTGCTGGGTGTCAGGCCAGGGAGCAAATGGCACGACAAGCTCTCGCTCTCCGGTCCTTTGCTATGCCCACCCTGGAACCTCTGGGTGGTCTGATGTGGTCTCAGGAGGTTGGCCTGCACAAACCGGTTTACTTCTTGTTCTCCGGCCAAGCTCTTGGGCCTCCCTGGAGTAGATAAACCAGTCCTCATCCGTGTAAGGCTCGCAGAACACCTGCACCATCATCCTATGGAAGAGCCTGCCCTACGACTCCTCTGGAACCCGTTTCAGAAACACTAATGTTTCTCTCCCTCTCTTTCTCCCTTCCTTTCCCCTGTAAAAAAAAATAAATAAGTAAAATCTTTTTAAAAAAATCATTTCCCTGGGACTTTCAGAAATTTTGGATGATTATTCCTTCCAGAAAAAGAGCCCAAGTGATTAAAGGCCATAGTTTTTATACCTGCAGGGTTTTGGGGTTTTTTTTCTAAAGGAATCCCCTGAAACCTTTGTTGTTAAGAGAATTCTGGGCCAAAGTAATAAAGCTGAGTACATGGAAACTCAGCTTCACTCCTGACAGCAGATAAGCTGATGTCACGCTGAAATCAGCGCTGGGCCTGGGTTTACTGGGACAGAGAAGAGAATGGAGACAAGGCCAAGGGCAGGTTTCCAGTTCCGTCCTCTCTGGCTGACCCCTCACAGTGGCCCTGGGGCTGCCCAACATCCTGTCACCGGACTCTGCGGTTTCCCCCCTCTGCCCGGGAGGACAGCCCCTTTCACGTCCGTCAGCGCCTGTGTGACCTCGTCTTTCTGCACGTGGTGCGTCCTTCTACTTCCCCTCCCCTGCGGCTAGTGCCACCCCTGCGCACCCCTGCGCTTGCAGGGGCTTCCCCGTGCCTGCCTTACAGGTTGCCCTGCAAAGAGCATCCTAAACCCTTGCTTACTTTTTTCCCTCCTGACCTTTGAATTTGTGGCTCTCAGTTTTTTTTAACAAATTTTTTAAAAGATTTTATTTATTTATTTATTTGTAGAGAGGGAAGGGGGAGGGAGAGAGAGAAGGAGAGAGGGAGAGAGAGAGGAACATCAACATGCGGTTGCTGAGGGCCGTGGCCTGCAACCCAGGCATGTGCCCCGACTGGGAATCGAACCTGCAATGCTTTGGTTCGCAGCCCGTGCTCAATCCACTGAGCTATACCACCAGGGCGTGGTTCTCAGTTTTTAAAAATCACTTTAAAAACTTTTATGCCCCTCTTTTAAAAATATGAATTCCCAGGCTCCATGGCAGACGACGTCAGCCCAAATGTCTGGGATGAGGCCCAAGAATAAGTATTTTCTGAAAGTCCCCCAGCTGACTCCAGCGCCCGGGGAGGGCTGGGCGCCGCTGCCCTAGTTGCAGAACGGGGCCGCTCGGCACGGAGCGGCGATAACCTGGTTTGGACTGACGCCTGCCACCAGCGTGTTTGGAGGTTCGCGCCACGTGTCTTTCTGTGCTTCAGGATGATTAGCCTGGAGAGTAGAAAAGTAGGAAAAATACTGGAAGCACCTTCAGCTTTGAGAGCCAGTGACGTGCTCCCCAGTCGTTGGTAGGTTGCCCTGACACACTGACCCAGTTTCTCCTGGTGAGTGGAGATGATCGCTACTTAATGCCTCCAGGGGAAAATCCTCGCCCGCCCGCGCTCTGCCCGCCCCGGCCCCTTCCAGAGAGGACTGTAGCGACAGCAGGTTGACGGACAGTTTTCCTCTGTGCGGGAGCGGCGGCCGAGGCCCTGCAGTCCTGCAGAGAGAGTTACCCAGAGGTAAAGACCGCGTCCCAGCCTCAAGGTGGGTGCAGACACCCAGATGACCTTCCTGAAAGGCACAGGGACACCTTACAGCCGGCTTGTGTCCACCACGGAGGTTCCTAAAGTTCGAGGTGACTCCGTCCGGCGGGTTTCATCTGAGAAGCGTGAGGCAGGGAAAGGATGAGGCTGATAAAGCGCAGGGAGGACTTTGTGCAGAAGGACAGGCAGTTACGCGAGCTGACGGGGTGCTGGGTTTATGAGTGATGACCGTGACCGCTACCCCTCGGTGGGAGCCTGCCCTGCGTGGGGCAGGGTGCCGGGGGCTTCCACACAGCCCCGCCGGCGCAGTGTTAGCCCTTTTCCAGGGCAAAGGTAAGTGGAGAGCTGTTGAGCTAGCTTTTCTAAGGCGCACAGCTCGACCGTGGCCGTGGGAGGATCCAAATAAGAGCTCCCAGGCGCTCGAGGCAGAGCAAGGGCGTTTGTCACGACCGGAGGGGATGGGCAGAGATCTCAAGACTCAGCCCCGACGCTCTCCGAGGGTCAGAGGAGGAGGAAGAGACTGCAGAGAGACAGGAAAGAAGTGGCCGGTGACGTATACAGAGAACCAGGACAAGGAGATGCCGTGGAATTAATTGTTGTAGTGATTATGCCAATCACTATGATAAGCAGTTTATACGTTTTCGCTCTTTTATTAGGTGAAGTCCAGGCTAGATTGTTGCAATAATGGACCCCAGGCTGGAGGGAAACGAGATACAGATTTGGTTTTTTCTCTCACTGTTCAGTCCTGCGTAGGCAGTTCAGGCCTGTTAGGGAGCTCAGCAGCATCGGGCCCGGGCCCCTTCTCATCCACTCTTGAAACACGTCCGGTCCCTACAGGCCGGGGGCAGCGTGGCTGTGCTCCTTTCCCTCTGAGGGCCATTGTCACAAAACTTCCGCTCACATCCTATTGGCCAGAATCAAGTTTCCTGGTCCCAGTGGGCTGCAAGAGGGGCTGGACATTTCTCCCATGTCTCAGAATTGCGTCTCTGTTGATCCTGCAGACAGGACTGTGTGAGTTAGCAGGTGTCTCAGAGATGCCAACCTCCCCATGGAGGGTCAGCAACAGTGGGGGAGTGGGAGCAGGAGAGAGGGGGAAAAGGTACAGAGAATAAGCAGCATAGATGGTAGGTAGAAAACAGACAGGGGGAGGGCAAGAATAGTATGGGAAGTGTAGAAGCTAAAGAACTTATGACACATGGACATGAACTAAAGGCGGGGGAATGTGGGTGGGAGAGAGTGTGCAAGGTGGAGGGGAATGAAGGGGGAAATGGGACAACTGTAATAGCATAATCAATAAAATATATTTTAAAAAAGGGGGAAAAAAAGAAGTGCCAACCTTACTGTCTTCCAGAAATTTGGGACTATCCGGGCAGATCTGATCGAGCAGATGAGGTTCAAGCAGAGACTGAAGGTGATCCAGACCCTGGAGGACACCACGAAACGGAACGTGGTGAGTCCTTCCAGAGGCGGCGTGCGGCCTGCTCTCCCCTCAGCCTCCTCGCTCTCCTGCGGCTCCCAAATCCCTGCTTGGCGCACAGACGGCGACTTAGAAGAGCAGGAACTCCCCCAGTGTGGGATGTTCGAGTTGGTGAAAGTCACTGTATTTATTCTCTTTCCAGGTACGAACCATCGTGACAGAAACGTCTTTTACCATCGATGAGCTAGAGGAACTCTATGCTCTTTTCAAGGTGAGTTTCGAAGTAAATTCATGGGCATCCAGGGGCATAATGAAGTTCACTGTAACAATTCAGTTCTAGATTGTTCTGTTAATTTTTTAAAAGATTGCTCAGATTATAACACGCGTAAATAGGAAGATGGAGCTGAGAATATAAACATGTGAAAATGCAGCCCCCTTTTCCTGCCCCTGCCCACCCACCACCTACCGTCCAGAGCTAACGTAAATGTGGGGGAGGGGCTGTTCACCCCGTGCACTCTCTATGTTTCATCTTTCCGGCCTTCCTGGCCCGGGCTACCTTGTTTCCAAGGACAGAAACAGGGAGCTTTTAGCTGGGTCCAACTTCTCTTCTCCTCACGCACAGTGGCTCCTACGCATACTTTCCTAGAGCTATTTTCAGACGTGTGAAATACGAGGACCACACGCTTATAGCGTGAATACCATATGGCCAGGGCGATACTTCTGTGACTTTGGTGCCCCAGAGGCACGGGGTTCGTGGGACGCTGCACGATGAATCGGGGAGGTCAGGATTTCACCGTGATCTGCTCTCTGGCGCTCGGGTTGGATGACCTGCGTAGGCCGCTCGACCCCTGGGCTCTACCATCCTCCCCTAGAGAACCAGGTGGTCACGTGGCCCGAATTACATCCTTTTCAGGTCAACATGCTCTTTATTTCTTTCAAATTAAAAAAATGTGTTTATAGGAGTTAGTTCTTAAAGTTCTCGTGAGGGTGTGCGTAAGAGGAAGAAGATGGGGGTGGGGGTTCCCTTCCTTCCCTCACCTACTTCAGTAGCCAAACCAGGTCTTTCGCGCCCGAGGTGAACTGCAGAGGCAGTTGCGGTGGAGCTGGTGGGACAAGAGCAGGAGGAGGAGACGGGGCCGGAGAGCACCGCAGGGCCCCGGGGAATGCACGAGGGTTGACCAGAAGCCTATTTCCAAGCTTGAGGGTGGGCCTTTTCTCCTGCTCTCTGTCCCGGGACCAGGTCCCCAGTACCAGCCCGCTCTCTGTTTTTTTCAGGCAGAACATCTCACCAGCTGCTACTGGGGCGGGAGCAGCAACGCGCTGGACCGGCACGACCCCAGCCTGCCCTACCTCGAACAGTATCGCATCGACTTCGAGCAGTTCAAGGGGATGTTCGCCCTTCTCTTTCCCTGGGCCTGTGGGACTCACTCGGACGTGCTGGCCTCCCGCTTGTTCCAGCTATTAGACGAAAACGGAGACTCTCTGATTAACTTCCGAGAGTTTGTCTCTGGGCTCAGTAAGGATGTGGCGGGATTGCACGGTGTGGGCGGGGCCGCTGGGGTGGGTGCCCCGTCGTGGTCAGCGCAGCCCCCGGAGACTGGGGTTAGGGGGCAGAGCAGCACATTTTAGGGTTTGCAAACCTTGTGAAATTCACTTTTTGCTAATGGATATATTATATGATTAATTCATTGCCTTGTACATTAGATAGTCCCCAACACTGGTTAAAATACATTACCAGAGAATTCATAAGATGATAATATGCCAACCTAAACACAGACCATGCAAACTCCACAGGAGAAAAAGAAATGTTTTGGTGGATTGCTTTTCTTTGAATATATATATATATATATATATATATATATACACACACACACACATTTTACATATACATACACACATATATATATGAAGTATATATAAGGTATTTCACAAAACTTTATAAAACCATTTTGTGGTGTCTTTAAGAAAGGGCTGAGAAGACCCCGACAGCTCAGCGGTGTGCAGGGAAGTCTTTTCTCTCTGTCGTACGGGAGGAGGGGCCGCCCCTCCAGAGCGCACACCCACACTGTGTTCTAGTGCCTTCTTGTCCCTTTATAACTGAGGGAGAGGAGCTGCCTTGTGGGTCGAGCTTGGCCCACTGATGATGAGTTGTGCATGTAGCAGGCATTAGGTCAGGCTGCCAGGATGAGATAAGAAGGAAAAATGTGTTTATTCTGATTGTGCCCCTCTGTGACCTTGGGCCACGTACTTTAAAATGACCTGCCCTCGGAGAGATGAAGGTGTCACACATGGAGCCACTGATGATTCCAGCTCGTGCGCTGAGTCTTTAAGAATCGTGGCAGGAAGACTTAAAGGCCAGAGAAAGCTGATGGTTTTTTAAAAAGCAAAGGGATGTGGAAGAGGTTCTCTTAAGTAGGATAAAAATGGCTTGTGTAAAGAACTTATAAATATGCTTATAAAGGGGGACCCGGAGGGGCTGGCCTTTGTTAGGTGCAGGTGCTGTTCTGATGCTTTAGAATTTGTGCTTAATCGTGTGACCCGGACAGCAGCCCTTTGAGGTGACTAATGGCGATGCAGCACTTACTCTGTGCCGGGCACGGCCCCAGGGCTGCCTGCGCATTGCTGAGCCTACAGGCATGGGGCTGCCAAGCGGGAGGTTGGACCCAGGCGTCCTGGAGGCACGGTTTGTGCGGTTACTACTATCCTTCATTACCGACCTGCTTGTTAGCATCGTCCCCATTTTCAGTTAAAGGAACGGGAGCTCAGAAAAGTGAAGTCACTTGCCGGGACATTGGTTTTCAGAAAGTCAACACGTATCTGTTACTGGACAACTCCGTTAGCACATGCTGGGCCCAGGATTCTGATGAGTCTGGAAAGCTCATTTTTTTCCTAATTACTTAATGCCGAGGACAGCAAACAAAATGTGTGTGTGTGTGTTTTGGAGGGGAGTGGGGGGAGAAGGCGCTATTAATTTTTAAGTACATAAGGAATACCTAAGCTCATTCTGCTTTTTTAGAAAGTGAGACAAGGTAAATACTGGTGTCTATAAAAAGGGTTTTTTTTTAAATTGTCTTTGTGCAAGAACAAGGAAGAGGGAAAAGAGGCAGGTTCTGCATGTAGAAAGTGATAGAAATAAATATAAGTATTTAACTTACTTAGTTCTGTTAACTCCAACAAAAAGAAATACTTTTCAAAATCTTCAAGAAAGGGAAGAGCAGTCCAAGATAGTGCAAACACAGAACGAGACTACGTAAGCATCCTCAAATGCAGTGGGGTTCCTGAGCGGAGTAAGCTGCACCCCAGACGCCAGGAGAACTCCGAGTCCTTGTCAGACTGTGGGCCACGGGCACTTACGGAGATAGGCGAGTCGACCAGGGAAGAGAAATTCTTTTCACATCTTTAAAAATTAAAAAATGAATTTTGGTAAAGACTGGATCAGTAATTTTAATATCAATCCCCAGAAAGATTCTTCTAGAAATCGGGGACCAAATAGATGGTCTGTATGGAATTAGAAATAAGGAGTTACCCTCAGGAACCGTAAGGTAGCTATGTCTCCTTCTCCAGTCACGTTTAGAGACTCTGAACGTGACTGGAGTCACGTTCTCTAAACACGTCACAGTGGCCGAGGCTCAGCTGGCCCTTTGGCAGATGACTCATTATACATGGAAAAGGCGGAAGGGTGTGGGAGACAAGGATTGCGTGACCGGCTGAACTCTGCCCCCAAAGGGCAGTAGTTCACGAGTCATTTTCAACTGAGAGTTCTCGAGCACCTTGGGCTTCGTATTAGCCTCTGTGACTGTTTCCTGATTTAAAAGGAGAGTTATTGTCATGACTAAATGGGATAATCCAAGTAAAGTTTCTAGAACAGAGCCTGGCTCAAAAGGGTTAGCTACCATTGTCACTGCGATTACTAGTTACCCTCCTCTCCTTGACTCAGCAACTTAAAACAACGAAATCCGAGAGAGCCTTGCAACTAGGAGAGACAAAGCTGGGAGACACGGCCATGTTGCATGACAAAAAGAAATTTAAAAAAATAGGAGGAAGACTGGCAAAAACAAATCGACGGGGGTATATCAGAAATCCTAAATTTGAACAAATGATGATGTGAATTGAAACCAAGCATCCTGATTTCAGAACTCTTAGCCTACACACGCCCTGGCCGGGCCTTCTGTCACCCAGAGTCTCGGTTTCTGTTGGCCGGAAGTGGGGGTTTCAGGGGAATGTTAAGCCTGGGGGTTCTTGCTACACACGGTGCATTTCATGTTTTTGGTGCTTTTGGGTTTCCAGATGCCGCCTGCCATGGGGACCTCACAGAGAAGCTCAAGCTCCTGTACAAAATGCACGTGTTGCCTGGTGAGTGAGCCACGCACAGCAGCACAGCACACCTGGCTGGAAAGTGTGTGTGTGTGTGTGTGTGTGTGTGTGTGTGTGTGTGTGTGAGGAGGGGGTGAGCTGTTTGCCTCTCTTTGATTTACAAAATCACTCATTGGTCACTACGAATGAGCCGAATGACGACTCTTCGCCTAACTTCCGAGTCCGTGTGTCCCCAAGCCTGTGGTCACCGGCCTGTCCAAAGCACGAGTTGGGTTAATGGTGAAGCGCAGACCTCTGCCAGAGAAGGGACGGCTGGCACTCGGCGACACACGGGGTCCCGGGGAGTCTGAGATTCCGAGTCATGGGGAGTGGATCTAACGCTCACAGAAACCAGTATGAAAGAGGGAGAGAATTTACGTTTTGAACAGGGTTAGCCTCCAGCTGGGATCTATCTGACAAAACTAAAAATGTTTTTAAAAAGAGGGCGACTTGGCACCAGGATAGAGACGGGATAAAAGTGTAGATTGGGACCCTGTGCGGCCTCCTCCCCATCCCCGGTCACTCCTTTACCAAGTAAAGCACGTGGCCGGGAGCCATCGTCCTGCCTGTACGAGAATTCTCTCTCCTGCCCCCTCTAGAGCCCTCCTCTGATCAAGACGAGCCAGACTCTGCTTTTGAAGCGACTCAGTATTTCTTTGAAGATATCACCCCAGAGTGCACACACGGTAAGTGACTCTCCTCCTCACGGCGCACTGTGTTTCTTTTCCACAGAGCCCTCTGTTTTTGGGAAAAGTTGCTTCCAAAGCTACTCAGTCAAAGAAGTGTATGGCTATGATTATGTGATATGTTACTTTCTGGTTTTTTTTTTTTAATTTCTAAAATTATAGTTTATCTTCAATATTATTTTGTATTAGGTTCAGGTGTACAGCATAGTGGTTGGACCGTCCCATGCTCTACAGACTGGTCCCCCTGACATTGCCAGCACCCACCTGGCACCACACGCAGTCATTACAATGTTACGGACTGCACCCCCTCCGCTGTACTTCACCTCTGCGTGACTGTTCTGTCCCTGCCATCTGCACTTCTTAATCCCCTCACCTGTTCACCCAGTCCCCTAACCCCCCTCCCCTCTGGCAACCATCGGTCTGTTCTCTGTGTCTATGAGTCTGTTTCTGTTTTCTGCGTTCCTTTATATCATCCTTTAGATTCCACGGATAAGTGAAATCACGTGGTATTTGTCTTTCTTTTCACATTTTTGAGTTGGATACTATTGGGGAGCAGGCACGTCAGCCCCCTGAAGGGACCGTGGCCATTGTGTCCCCCTAGCTGGGACAAGACATGCCCTGCCAGGCGGTAGGCTTTGCTCCCCCCTCCCCCCCACCAGGCTCACTTGTTAACAAGGTCATTCTGTTAAAAGTGGTTTCCCTGAAAGTCATAGTTTTGAAATGCCAGGTTATAAATCTGAAGGAATTTTATAACAGACAGCATTTGTTTCCCTTTATCAACAAAGGTTTTAATGTCTCTTTAGAAAGTGAGTTTTTGGTCTTTTGTGGGGCCTGAAAGAAAATCAGTTGCGTGTACATGAAGTTAGGATGACAGCATAGCAGAGCGGGGATGACACCCACGGGGCGGGCAGGCCTCACCCTTCTTCCAGTAGTGGAGACGACATCCCTTTGTTTCCTGATTGTACATTAAACCCCAGTCGTGACAAAACATTCTGGGGGAGTTGTTTCTTCACTTAGAAATCAGGTTGTCACATAAATTATGGGACAGCCTGTAAACTTTGATTCCAGGGAAGCAAACAATAATTTGTCCAGCAGAAGTGGGTCCCAGGCATTACTTGGGACACATGTACACCCAAAAATGATCTGTTATTGATCGTAGGTTCGAATGGCACTTGGCGTGCTGGGTTTTCGTTTTTGTTTTTTTGCTAAGTCAGGCCACTCTACCTGGTGGTCTCTCTGTTTTCTACTACAAATGCTAAGTGTGGGTTCGCTGCACACAGTCCGATTTTTCGCCCATTTCTTGGCAGTGGTTGGTTTGGACGGCAGAAGCAAACACAGCGCGGACGACGGCTTTGTGACCGTGAGCCTGAAGCCGGACAGAGGTACAGACTCCCCCGTGCGCTGCCTGCCTGCTGGTCGGACAGTGTTTCTTGACCTTGGAACACTGACTTTTTCACATTTGGGTTTTAGGGAAAAGGGCAAATTCTCAAGAAAATCGCATTTATCTGAGGCTCTGGACTGCAGAAAATAAGTCAAAATCAAAGAATGCAAAGGATTTACCAAAACTGAGCCAGGTAAGTGCTCCACAGTTCTGTCTCTTCATTTCAAACCCAAAAACTGTTTTCCAGTCATAGATCCGTGTAAAATAAGTACCCCTCAAAGGCAGTGGTGACTCGGGGCAGTTAGTACCTATTTACATCTATTTTGTGCATCAAAAATATGTTGTGAGAGAAATGTGAATCTGGAAACCGTCAATTTTGAGAGCGCACGTCTCATCCCAGTCATTAGAAATACCCTCAGAGACTCAACAAAATGTGAGTGTGTGCTCTTTTCAACCCACTGAGCTCAGCTGTGAAGGTAGCAGACAGATTTTTCTCTTTAAAATGCAGAAATGTAATGACAGACTTAAAAAAAGAAAGTATAGGTAATTATAAGACCGCATGGAAATGCTAACTGTCCTGACAGGAAGCAGATAAATCCTCTGGATGGGGTGGGAGGGCACGTCTTCTGTCCAGGGCGCCCAGCGGACGTGCGTGGGAGAGCTGGCCTGGGAAAAGCTGCGGTGCCCCCTGCAGTGTGTAGGTGTTAGACGAGCCGAGGTCCCGGGTTTACTTAGGACACTTCAGCAGAGGACAAGCACATTAACACAACTGTGCAGTGCGGTGGGCCTTAACTCGAGGAGACGGATGGGTGCACGGAGTTCCATTATTTCATTCTCTCTACTTGCACGGATGCTGGAAGTTTTTCAAACTGTAAAAAATGGAACCATCCATTGAGAGACTTTCAGTAAGGCTTCCACCCACCCTACGCGCAGGCCTTGCAGGGGACCTTCCGTTGTCCTAACGGGAAATGGCCTGGCTGGCCGCTTCAGCCCTGCCCCTGAGCTCTCCCCGGGCGGTGACGATCTTTGTGCTATTTATTCGACATCCGTTTTCAGGGGCAGTTCATTGAGCTCTGTAAGACGATGTATAACATGTTCAGCGAGGACCCCAACGAGCAGGAGCTGTACCACGCCACGGCGGCCGTGACCAGCCTGCTGCTGGAGATCGGGGAGGTGGGCAAGCTCTTCGTCACCCAGCCCGGCAAGGAGGCGGGCAGCGGGCCCTGCAGCCAGGGCATCCCCGGCGTGCCCTTCCCCAAGAAAGGGCCTGGCGGCGGCGGCGCACCCTTCGGAGTGGAGCCGGTGGAGCCCCACGCGGCCAGCTTGGCGGGCGACGCCGAGGACCACTCTCTGGGCGGACAGATGGAGGACATAAAGCTGGAGGACTCGTCCCCGCGAGACAATGGCGCCTGCTCCTCCATGCTCATCTCCGACGACGACACCAAGGACGACAGCTCCATGTCCTCGTACTCGGTGCTGAGCGCCGGCTCCCACGAGGAGGACAAGCTGCACTGCGAGGACATCGGGGAGGACACGGTGCTGGTGCGCAGCGGCCAGGGCACCGCCGCGCTGCCCGGGAGCGCCAGCCTGGACCGGGACTGGGCCATCACCTTCGAGCAGTTCCTGGCCTCGCTGCTCACGGAGCCCGCGCTGGTGCGGTACTTCGACAAGCCCGTGTGCATGATGGCCAGGATCACCAGCGCCAAGAACATCCGCATGATGGGCAGGGCCCTCGCCTCGGCCAGTGACTACGAGATCTCCGCCCTGTCCGGCTGACGCGCTCCTCCCTCCGCCGGCCGGGAGGGGCGGGGCGGGGTCTTTTTTATGTTCTCTGTTGGGGTTTCTTTCTTTTACATGAAATATTTATTAGGGCCCGGCTTGGAACCTAGCGTTTTCATAATATCATACAGTGAAGACTGTTGGAGAAATATTTAACACCTCGCTGTAGGTACAGTGCACTCTTGTTGGGGAAGGGGGGTTACCAGAATACAGTTTATTCAGTGAATTCCAAAAAAAAAGATGAATCTGTTCGTGATATGTGTGTATTATAACTTCTTAGTCTTGCTGTTGAGCTATATACATGGTTTAAAAAAAATAGTGCTGCTTAATGCTAAACAAGGCAGCAGCCATTTGCGTGTTGGGGCGTTTTAAAAAAATCAGAGCTGGAAGGAAAATGAAGTGGGAAAATGAAATGACCTTAAATGGGACAGGCGCTGTCAGCTAGGGTAAATCCTATACCACTTTGGGGAGCATTAAAACTATTTTTTAAGATTTAAAATATATTTCATAAAAAGTCCTGTATTCAAAAATTATATTCAACAGAAATTCCCCTGCAAGGGAAAACATTTGAGATTCTAAACCATTATGAAAGTGTGATTTTTATGCGATGCCAGAATAATGGTTCTATTTGGTCAATTGAGACAAACAGCAGACCAGTTTCGCATTAAAAAAAAACAGTTGTTATTTGTGTCAGCTGCCAGAATTCAGTGGAAATGAAGTCTTGTTATAGAGTCAAAGTGGACGTGAGGGTGACAGAGGGCTCGGGAATTTTTTTCTCTTTTTAGAAAGACTGATGCTTCTGATACTGGATTTTCAGCTTCTTATTACTCATTACAAAGAAAGCAAAAAAATAAATAAACTTTACCATCTCCATAGTCTCCATAGATTCCAGAAACTATACCATGTATCATATATGACCATCTTTCCAATTACATCAATGTCGTGATAATGTCAGCTGAAACAACAACAAAAAAAAAACCCTGCAAGGTCACGTAACTGAATGTTTTAAAGCAGAACTGTGTCACTTTATACAGAAGGATAGTATGCTCTGTTTCCCGAGTGGACGTGGAAATGGAGACTAGCACACCTGCACTTTGGAGTCCTGCTTCTGTGTCTCCGCCGTTCTCGTCGCAGACGTTGGGGGTGGTTTTCCCTCCCACCGTTCGGTTCACAGCCCTGGTCTCCGTTCCTTTGCTTCTTCGGAATATTCCTTTCGACCCATTCCTTTATTTTATTACACACTGTGTCCTTATTTTAGCTGTTACTGCTGGAGTTTGTTTTTTTTTTATTTTGTTTACAGAATGATTTTTAAACTGTCAAATGAAGTAGTGTTAACCTCAAATAAGATAATGTGAACAAATAAAATACATCAGATACTCAGATACGGCTTTCGTCTCAGTGACTGAGTTCCTGCCTAAGGCAGTCGCATTATTCTTTGGACGCCTTTGCAGGGGGAATTATATTAGGCAATCGTTTGGACTGAGTAAATATTTCTATCGTCAAGTATTTTGAGATGATAAATATAATATGTAGTGATGTGCATATAATACATGTATTTAAAATAAGGGAATTTATATCAGTTATCTGATTATTTAACTTATCCTACCTACATTAGCGATTAAAGGTTGAAATTCCTGTTTCATCCCTATTAGTGCGCTGTGATACCATTTGTTAATGTGTTTAATCGAGTGATTGGATTTGATTCTGAGATTGTTACACATTCCTTCATGTGCTTCTGTCTCTAAAGTCACTTGAAAGATGCCTCAGGAAATAACCTTAAAATCTGACACTGTCAGGCTTTGGGAGGGGAATACCATGTGTATAAATGTTAGCCCTACGTTAGCAAGAGGCCGGAATTTTCCGCTGTCACAGAGAAAGGGGCCCTGACAGCAGATGCCTCTCTTGATGCTACGGAAATAGTGCCCTTAGCATCCTGGGGCATTCTGTCACAGCAGCCACATACTCTGTGAGGCAAGTGTCACCTGTGTTTGCTTCTCCGGGAGTCCTGAGCCTCCAGGCTGATTATTTCCAGCATGGTCTAGGAGAGAAAGGAGTGGGCGCCTCAGCTCCCTCCTAAGGCAGTCAGTGCCTTCCAAGCAACATTTCCTGTCTTGTTTTTGATGATTGGGGTATGTTTTTTTAGTATCTTTGTGGATTTTTCTCTTTGATCTCAAACTATGGTGATTTACCATCTCCTTCTCCGAATGGTCACTTTTCACCCAGCTCTGTGATGATTTGTTTCCCGAGCTGACGACCGTTCTGCCACCACAGAGGGTGGGCTCGATGTCTCTGTCCCCAGAGACCGGAGCTCCAGCAGCAGAGCACTGGGCACCGGCCTCAGGGGAGCTTTCAGATAGGAGCATGGGAGGGAGAGGGCGAGGAGACCTCTCTCTGGGAAGGAAGCGAGCCCACCGGCGCCCGCCGTGCAGGGAAGTGGGCGAGCGGGGGACCACAGCTCCAACCGCACCATCCAACTGGGGTCGGGGGTGGGGGGAGGGGGAGGGATGGAGCAAAACGGAAAAAGGACCACAGGCATGGACAACAGTGTGCGGATTGCTGCGGGGAGGGGGTATAAGGGGACTAAATGGTAATGGGGAAAAATACAATAAAGATAAGTTTAAAACAAGAAAAGCATTGTTTCATGAACACAAATGACTTAAATAAAGGGATGGGAGGGTGGGAGGAGAACAGAAGTGCAAACAGCAAGGCTTATAGAAGTTTCAACGATTTTTATTTGCTCACAGCATTCCTAACAATATGACATCACATCTCAGCTATTGCTTTTACATAGGAAATTAATTGCTTTATCCAAAGTAGACAAAAATCTGTTTAAGTTGCCAGCCAGCACTTTACCCCGCCCCCCCAGGGACAGCTACTGCTTAAATATTTGTTGAATACTTAAATAGAAACATAGAATCGCCCTATTATACATAGTAGTGTAATACTGGGGTCTCACCTGCACTAACTACATTTGAATTTCTTCTTATCAAAGGCCGAAGACGGGGAAAAAAAGGAAGAAAAAGGTCACTCATGACATTTCCTTTCTGATTTTTAACAAGTCCATTAATTTTTATGAAAAATTCGCTGATGTGGAGAGGTTCATAGACAGGAAAACAGAAATTGAGCCCCCCCGGACTGGTCCACAGAGAAGGCGGGGGGGCCATGTGTCCCGAGGAAACAGCTGCTGGCCCCTCGTTAGTTCCAGAAGGATAATGAGCAGTGTCACCCCCCCAAGCCAAACCTCTTCTCTTCGGGGCCGTGACAACATGTGAGCCTTCCTGCCCTGGCCACAAGCCTTTCCACTTTTCACACTCACGTAATGAGCAAAGCTTTGCGCAAGTTCTACCTCGCTGAACGCACAGGAGAGAAACGTACATAAACCGTTGTGGACACTGGAATAAGAATGAAGAGTCCATATGTTTTGACTCAGAAAAATATATACAAATCCAAGTAGCTCTTAAAAGAGAAAAAATTCAGGGTGGGCATTCTCAGGAAAAAGGCCGTTTCCTAGACTCTGAGTGGGGCCAGTAGGACACCGACTCTTCCGTCTGTGTCACCGGATTCATACACAAAGGGAGGGTGGTCTCAGTTCACTGACATCCTCTGACCTCCCCCACCCTGCACCGTCCGAACACAGTACGCAAACTACAATGGTTTGACTGTTTTTAGACTGTCCTTGTCACTGGCACATGCTCTTCAGCCTGGCGCACACAACATCTCATTTCAACACTGACTCACTTTTCTGATGCTAAAGCAAACGTAACTTTCCTGGTACTTAAGTTCTATCACTACTTTGGTACTTATTCATTATTATAGAAACAGGAAAGGTTCTCAACATGGATTTTAAGACTACATAAAATTCTAACATAACGTGGAGAGCAAGGAAAAGTAGGAAGGCAGACACAATTATATTTCTCTTTTCATCTATGTCACTATCACATAAAAGTCAGAAGGCGCATGTTACACTCTAATTTACAACTGGTGACATTGCGCTTGGCTTTCAGATTCAAACCTTAGAATCTGTCGGTGGCTTAGACCAGTTTGCCATAGAACTATGTGAAATGGTTACTGATTATTTAAGCAAAAACAGAACACTATCTGTACTGTACAAACAGAGGTGGAACTAAAGAACATATTAGAGCAAATTTTCTAATGACATTTAAAAAATACTACGGTTTTTTTCTCCCTAGAAAGGGAAAAAACTTAATTACTCAAAAAGCACCCCCCCCCAATACTTGAGTTGTTCTTTTATTAGGCATAATGACAAAGGTTTAAATCAGTTCAAGATCTCAGCTATGGAAAAATTAAAATACAAGTGTTTTCAGCACAAAAATTCAAAGACAATTGCTTTCCCATACTAGGGAGCACCTTGACCAGAGCAAACCACTGAATGATCAACACCTGATCCTCAGCAGGGCGCTGCTACAGCTCACAGAACTCCAGCGGGACGACACAGCACTGAAAAACATGCTAAAAAATGAAATACTCCCAAGGTTCAGTCCCCTACAAGAAACCACATTTGTAAACTCCTCTAATACAGAATGAACAGGTAAACTGCCAGGACTGCAATAAAGTGAACCCAATTTTTAAAATAGTTTCTTCGTGAGAAAATTGTGACTCGAATGCACGCACTTTTAATGTGCCGTACAACGCCACAGCTGTTACGTTACAATGGAGTATTATCTTACCACTCTTCTCTGGCAAGTTTGAAGAGAGGTTTGTTAATAAACATGAACAAATACTTTAAAGTCTCAGGTCTTTGTGTTTTAGATTAAATTATGTCTTTGACAGGCTGGTTTCTGTAGGATTTAAGGAAAACATGAACTTATCTTCAAACTAGAGTTCTGCTATGAGAACTAATGTCTAAAGGAGAAACTGTTCACTTTAGAATCTCATCACCGTATAATCCTGAACACACCTGCTGCCGCCCTGAGATTGTAGAAGAACAAAGCTATTCAGAATGCATAATCATCCTCCTCAGGCTACTTGAGAATCCCACACTGTTAACTCAAAGAACACCCATAAAGTCTACACATCAACTACATACACTACGGAGTCAGAGCAGAGACTGAGAGTTAACAGTAAATAAAATAAACCAATGGTGTTTAACCAAGTTTATAAAAATGCTTTAAGTCTTCTTCCTGTCTAAGTTCAAAGACAGCTTTATTGAAACAGCAACTGTCCTTTGAACACAGTCAAGGTGTTCCCAGCAAACACCTCTCTTTTCCTAAGTACACGCAGGTAGGGCCGACCCCATAAAAGGCCCTCACGCCAAGCACCGACTCAGGTCCCTTTCCCCCACTAACAAAAAGCAAAGACTGACAAGGAGGAACTGTCTCTAAGCTTTAAAAGAACATCGTAATATTTGAAAGTATGGTGTTTAAAAAACAAAAAAGCTAGTCGCCAACACTGTGGTTCTAACATGATCTGTGATGCTAAGTAATCAGACAAACCACCACGGAGGCCAGGCGTGTTCATCCCCTCTGCTATACCTGTGCTCTCGCTGCTGCCGACGAGGCCACACTGGCATCTGCGTGAGATTCAAACAAAAACCATGAAGAACCACTCCCCCTCCCTCCCAAGTAACCTACAAATAAGAAAAAGAAAATAAAGAACTAGCATGTCCAAACCCAACAAAAAAATTTTAAGAGCTTTGCAAAGATAGCAACTTGATAGCTACACATAAAGTGAAAACTGATATTCACACATTTTAATCAACCAGTTTAATACAAATGCAGTACCTGGCTTGTACTTTTACACTAAATGGGCTAAGTCCCAAGTTCCGAACTGTAGTTCCCATGACTCTACAGAGGGGTCTTTGGAAGGAAAAGGTTCCTTTGGAGGACAGTGTATAAACAACTGTAAACATACACTGATTGTCCAGTAGCTTTCTTAAATAGAATTTCTGAAAAACTTTTGTAGGAAATTACATATAAGCAGTGTATTTGATCAGATAATTTCTATTACAACATATAAATTCTGCTGTGTGTGCAAAATGTGGTAGAAATAGAAGATACTACGGATGATTCATATTTTTAAAGTGAGTGACACATTATAATCCAGTAGGAGTCCTTTAATCTTTTCATGAAACTTCTCTCTATATATGTTGAAATACATAATGCTTTCTGGCTTTTCTTCAAACCAAAACTTGTCAAATTCATAGACAAGGTAACCTGTAGTTAAAAAAAAAATACAGGGCTCAATAATGGTATCACATCCAAACCATCTCATTTTAAAAGTATATGACCATCCTTTAAGTTCCATATTAGGGTATAATAATTTATCTTAAAGTACTAGAAACCTGAGGAACATTATAAGAAATGTTTTCGTACGTTCAAAGTAAACAGCAATTTCAACAAAACCCCTCAAACTTAAGAGACATAATACTATCAAAAAGATACCTTGGGAATAGGAAACAAGGTTATTATTACCGGGGACCCCTGAAACGCAAAAATGGAAATAACAAGAAAATGTTGGACAAGGATAATTTAAAAGAAAGCTGTTTTCTACTTAATTTCTAAATCTCAGAGATATTTCCATTTTTTTTTTCAATGAACTATCAGCAACTTCTCTTTAAAAAAAAAAAAAGAAATTAAACTCTAACCAACTGAGCTAACCAGCCAGGGCCGAAAAATAGATACACTCAAAATAAGCTGGACTTAGTGACAAAGGCCCCAGATCACACAGTCACAACGGGGATGGGAAACAGCGGGCAAATGCAAGAGGAATTTAAGAAGCAGGCGAACCTGGAGTTACGTAAGGACAGGGGAGATTATGGGCAGAGACCTGGATGACACTGTCAGTCACGGAGTTGAGTAAGTTATGATCTGGCCATTTATTACCTAAGTAGTTTCCTATCTCCTGCTGACAGCAAATGACATTCTAAAGACTCAAAATGATCAAGAAAAGTACAGCATAAAAGTACAGCATTCAGTACAGCTAAGCTGGATTTGAATTCTTTGCTTCTGAGCAGTAACTTCAGAAGATGGGTGCATTCAATTAAACCTTCCGTGTTCAAATATCATCAGAATAAAAGTTAAGGAAACAGCCGTAATAGACTGACTGCTTTATGGAAAGTGACTAAGTAGCTCACCCACACACGAGACCACCGGAACTTGAAACAAGGAGCAGGGGCGAAAATTTTTTTTAAATAAATTTCACAAAATAATCTGTAAGTTGTCTGTCTTTGACTCAATAGCATTTATTGACCAGGATTCAACAGAAAAAACTCATCTTACAGACTGAAAAATGGATACCTACAGAAAAACTGAATAAATACTAAATTTGTGTACATGTGAAAAAACTGCCTCACTGAATTTTTTTAAATCAACAATCATAAAAACCACAGCGCAAAATACCCTTGGGAGTCCATCTTCCATTATTTTCCATTTTTCCAAAGATCCAAAATAATCAAATGACAAGCATAAGTCATATACTTGCTAGTGATGTTCCATCTTCCTAACGATTTCAAACTTCTCCTAGAAACACTGAGTTTTAACTCCTCTTGATACTCACAATAAAACTGGTGGAAGTGCTCTATCGCTGGCACACCAGGAACAAAGTTGTAGAGATGGAATTTCAGCGCTTCACTCTTCAGCAAGCTGTAAGCCATCTCTGTCAGGTTGATCCCAACTATTGCATAAGAATACCTATGTCAGAAACATGACTAGTTACACCAGCTAGCCAAGTGGTGTGCAAAATAAACTTGAAATCAGTCAAGGAATTAGCAAAAAGCTACCTGACCCATTTTTAACACAGCATTGACTTCATGATATCTCTACATATTAAGAATAATAAGCCAGAGTAGATTTTTAAAAATTGTTCTTTAGAGGCTGTTTATTTTCTGGATATAATCTAAGACATAAAAACAAAGCTCTGGTCCCATGAATTTCTAAAACGAAAACCCTTTAAAAAACTAAAAGGAGTATGACACACATATTCTCATTGATTTCTAAAATACACTGGGTAACCTAACATTTTCTCTTCTATCATCAGGGTACTTATTTTTATGATGTAATATTGTTGTATTTTTCCAAATATAGGTGTCATTGGAATACAAACATAAAATAATATCATATGATAAAGCTAATAATATAACCTCAATTTGCATTTTATGCCACAACTCTCAAATATTAAAATACAAAACTGGCTTATGATCATATTGAGCCTTAAAAATGATGTTATCATGCAATATCCTTTAAAGTTCTTATTAATTAAAATCATCCCATTTAAGAAATACCTGGACATACTCTCAAAGTCAGATCCCCCCACCAACTTAAATCCAAGGGCCTGCAGTCTCTTCCCTGCGCCCGGCTTACCCTAAGCTAGGATGATTGGAGCGGGAAAGAATCTGATGAGCTTCCCTGGTATAATTCTCACTGAAATACCTTCAAACGGTGAAGAAAAAGAATGTCGTCAACATAAGTCATTCCCAGCGAAGCTACAGAAGCAATTTAAAGAGTTACCGACAAAATGAGAGTCCTCGCGTGACCACAAGCACCCGATCAACCCCCATCTCAGTCGAAGTTTCAATCTGAGCGATCGGCCTTTGGCAAGACTTTAAGGTATTTTAACAAATAAGCGAACTACCTGCATTTAAAAAGACCTAGAGTTCTCTTTCTTTGTTTATTCTAAATTTTCTACAAAACAGCCACCTGTTAGGAGGACGCTCTCCCCTTCTCCTGGGCCCGTTCCTTCCAGGGCAACTGCAGTCCGCTCTGTTTAATGCCATGTTCAGTGCGCACAGAAGACAGTCAACCACCTTCATTCTGCACTAAAAACCACCCCCAGTGATCAGGGCTGTAACTAAAACACTGGCCACAACACTGAAGTATCAGGAGAAATAGAGGATAAAGCTATTTATTTGTAGGCTCATACATCCTGTTGCCTTGAACTCCTGCAGTCTCTTTGAGTTCCAAGACAGGGACCAAATCTTCTCTTCAACCTTCTAAGCATTTCTAGTACATCACCGGCAATCAAATAATTATCAAAACATACCTGTGAATCTTCACAGTTCTTCAAATTAGTAGATACTAGCTCTACATAGCATTAAAATATCTATCTGTAAGTCATTTAAAAGTGTGTCCAACCAAATCCCTTACCATAGTCATGAATCAAATTCTATTAAATTATTTAAGCCCTGGCTGGTGTGGCTTAGTGGACTGAGTGCCGGCTTCTGAACCAAATCCTAGTAAATTATTTAAATTTTCGGCTAAATTGGAAAACACTGAAAAACCCGATTTCTGAGGAAGACAGTCAGAAGCAAGGTTACTCGGAAAAAGGTCACCCAGAAAACACCACCGTGTGTAGCCACCCGACTGAGGGCGGCTGCTTCGCGAGTCCGCGCAGCTTACGGGTACTGAGAGTACAGGCGGCCTTGGAAGGGTACAGACAAAACATCCACGTGTTTTCAAAAATATTAAATTTTAAAATATTTCATAAGTTTCCAAGCAAAAACAAAGTGCACTTTTTTCTACTTAAATTCCAAACAGAAGTTTCTGCTTATCAAAGTAGAAAACAGGTGTCTCATTTCTGTGGTTATTATTTTTAAAATAATACTGTGTTTTGCTTATTTCGGAGAGGTAGAATTATAGGAAATTTTAATACTCCTAAAATTTAGGTATTATAGAAAATTAAATACTTTGGAATTGGGAAAAAGTTACATACTGAAACCTACTGTGTCTCTATTTTCTCACCAAATATCCTCATCCATACTGACCTAGATATTTTTTTCTCACTATTAACATAATTTAGGTCAATTTCAGGACTAATTTTTTTACAGTAACTATCTAACTCTTGTTAATGGTTAGGGTTCCCATTCCAGGTATTCTGTAGTCAATAAATCACAATCCAAGGATACCTCAAACACTACAACTTCTTCATTTGCATGTCCTTTACTTTCTAAAATAGTTTTGGCTATCAACTGATTTTAGCTACATATTTTACAACTTCATACATGTGCTCAAGCACAAGTGTTGAAGAAGAAAAGCAGAGGGAGCCCACACAGGCTGCGAAAAGTCTGAGATTTAGATCCCTTGCCACACATGGCAAAGAATCAGCGTGAAGGGACTTGCTTGTTGTCTTGTCTGGTCACATTTCCCAGAATGGAATCAGAGAGCCAAGAGAAGAGACAAGAGGATAAAAAAAAAAAAGTAAGAAAAAAGTGTAAATAATTCCTTCACAAGTATCAGAGGGGAGGTCAGGAAGAGGAAGGAAGAGGAAAGGTACTGGCAAGCTCAGAAACCACACACACACACACACACGCGGGCACATTCCCAATGTCTTCACGTTGTCGCCACCACATCAGTAAACAGGGTCAGCGCTGCAGCTATTCCAGTTCACAGGCGGTATGCAACTAGGTGGGAGATGACATGTAATTTCATTTTAGAGAAGAAAATAAAGTTTATTTTCACTTACACAAGGTTGATTAATCCAAGTATGCCCATGCCTCTGAAGTCTGTTTTGGGGTCATCACCCTGGAAACCGATGTCAGCCCACTGCTTGGAGATTCTGGCCTTCAGCTTTTTTGTGGGCATTAGAAGACTCCAAAGCTGTACAAACATGCTTCCATTTTACAAATAATAGTGACGTTCTCAAGTTTCCAGGGCTTTTTTCCCTTCTCATAACTGATATAACTAGTAAGTTGAATGCTTTCAAATGAATAATTTTGTAGACAAATTATAGGTTCAACGAAAATGATGCCTAGAGAACTTTTCAATTACCATAAAAAATGTAGCCTATTTATTCCAGTTAAAAGACTTAGCCAAAAAATAGACTTTGAAAAGATGACCAATGCACAGACATCTAAAGCAATGTGATGTCCTCACCTACTAGGTCACACACACATGAACACCAGAGTTGGCAAACTACTTCCTGGAGGACAGTGTTAGGTGTGTGGCCCTCGCCCCTGATCCTATGTACTCAGGTGGGCTCTAAGAGTGGGGGATTTGTCCCTGATGACAAGAAGGAGAACAGGTCTGGGTCAGGGAGGGGATCATGAGGAAATAATACGGGTTCATTCCAACCCATATGATGATTATTTTACAAATTTTCATGGTTTTAAAGGAAGAAAAACAACTCAGTTTTAACTAAATATATTCCGTAAGACTGAGATCAAATATCAGATGGCTATCATAAGACAGCTATCAAGTATTAGATAGCAACAAACTAATCAATGCAAAATAAAGTTTAAAAATTTAATCATTTTCTAAATTTGACACCACACATCAATCCAGACAGGCTCACAAAAGTTAATAAGAAAGTTTATGAAATTTGTGAAACAAAAATACTTGCATTTTCCCATTTCACTACCATCTCAGGCACTGTTGAATAAAGGACTTCTCATAAAAGGAGTATCCCGCTACCCAAAATAAAACATGAAGACTAGTGATCCTACTTTAAAGCAGGGTCAAGACTTTGCTGGTCCTGAAGCCAAATCCAGTACTTAGATTGGATTTTATCTGGCCCCTTCTTTTATTAGTAGATTTCCCTTTATATGTTATCTATTCCAGAATTAAAAGCATTTAAAATAAAATTTATTTGAATATATTTTAATGATACTTATCAGAATACTATAAAAAGAGTTAACTAAAAATCTTTCACCAACATAATACAATTTTCTAAGGGGCAAAGAAACTGGATGGCTGTTTAAGCCTCGAGAATTTGCACCAAGACCTCACTAGCTCAGGCCTGATTCATTTGCCCAGTGTTCAGGAACATCGAATGCAGAAAACGAACCGTACCTTGAGCAGCAGCTTTTCGTGTTGCGGGTTATCAGAATCATACGGTCTTTTTCTCACACCTTCTACGTCCAAATAGAGCTGCTTATAACCAGATATCTGCAGTAAGCATGCCTTCATGCAGATTTTAAAACTGAAAATAACAGAATTATTATTTTTTAAAAAGTCATTCTTTATCACAATAAAGTAATACCTTCCACAGCTTGTGGTTTATATGGCTATTTAGAAACCATTTCCTAACTTTCGGTTTAATACAATAAGCAGCAAAGGTCTCCTTAAACACACAACTTTTTATAAGAGGAGTATCAAGTATCAGGAAGGACGTGATAAATCAGGGTCTGGAAAGAGGACAAGACATGGTAGGAGGGGCAAGCTTTGCAGCTGTCCCTTCTTTTCATGTTTTCCTTGGGCAGCCTCATACACCCCTAAATCTTCACGACCAGTCACCACCAGTGGACCTAATTTTCCAAGAATGTATATATACAAGGAGGGACCCTTAAAAACAGAATTATCTTCTGGAGGGCGGGCACCTTGTAGTACAGGCTTCCCCCACCAGGTGAGTGTTCTAGGAACCCATCTGTATCAGTGGACCAGCTGGTGGTGTTGTGAGAGGCTGCAACTGGCTTCAGTGAAAATTGTTTGAAGGCTCTTTCCACACGTTTGCCCATTCCGTGACGGGTGATTGGTGAGCGCACCTGCCCACACCGTGCTGAGTGTCCAGCAGTTTTTGACCTGAAACAACATGACCCCTGTGCCCCACCCTTTCTGTTCACCTGATGTCACCTCAAGTGACTTTTTTTTTGTTTCCAGGGATGAAAAAAGTCCTCAAAGGGAAACATTTTGCTGATGTGGAAGAGGTGAAACAAAAACCAGCAGAAACACTAAAAGGCATCAAAATCGACAAGCTCAGAAACTGTTGTGAGTAGTGGAAGAAAGTCGCGATAGGTGTATTGCATCAAATGGTAAGTACTTTGAAGGTGACTGGTGTTTAAACATGTAAGAATACACGATTTTTTATAAATAAATTCTGGTTTTTTGGGTCTCCCCTTGTATATATAACCAACAAGTCCAGGACAGGTTATCTCAGTTTCCCCAAATACGACTGTCTGTCTTCCCTGAAGAAACATGCTTTTCCTTAGTAAGTCGCTAAACCTATTATCGACACCAGTAGTCAATCATTAGTTCTCCAAGCCAGAACCATCCGAGTGCTGACTTCCCACTCTCGACCACCAGCACATCGACAGACCCCCAAACCCCCATCCCGTCCTCCTCTGCAAGGCCCCTCGAAGCAATCACCATGTATGCATTTGTGCTGATGTGTTGTTCATGGCTTTGTCCTCTCCTGCCGGAAGGACTGTTTCCCAACTGTTCTGTCTTTATTCCTTCTGCCGGCCTCCCTACCCCCCCAGTTTACCCTCCATTTTCTGATAATACAGCTTGTTTGCTTGAAAAGAAAGAAAGAGAGCAAGGGGCAAACTTTGTAGCTCCCTCTTCTTTTCATGATTCGTTCTCAGAAGACAGCGAAAGGCAGGCAGGCAGGAAGGAAGGAGGAAACCGAGAGGACGACACCTGTCCCTCGGTGTGACGTGCAGCCCAGCACTGCACTCACCTCTCGGAGCCCTGCTCTGCAGGGCCCCAGGGCCCCAGCCACAAAGGCCCCTGTCACTCCCAGGTCCGCAGCGCTGGCGCCGTGCTGGCATTCCTCCTCCACACAGCGTGCCCTCCCTGCCCACTCCACAAGGCCCGGCTGAAATGTCACCTCTTCTGTGGAACTACCTCACAGCTCTCTCCTGTGCCCCTCCCTGTTCCAGCCAAAATACATTGCTCCTTCCTCTATGTTTACACAGAAAATGCTGGAAAAGAACAAATTGCTAAACACTTACAAGTCAACCTCCTGGTCCTGAGAACTCAAAAATGGAGCAAGTCAAGTCCTCCTCTTACAGAATTTGCAACTCATTGCAATACGAGGGGAAGGACAAGAGCAGACGGACAGTCACAGTACAATGGTTATGCTACGGTGGAGGGAGAGCTCTGTGGGGCCCTACCTCGGGCTGCAGGAGCCAGGGAGACCCTCCTGCAGGAGGGCAGAGGGCCTGCATTTTGAAGGAGGAGAAGGACACAGTAACCACAGTTATTCAGCTCCAGGAAAGGCATGGTAAGTTACCCTAAAACAGGCCGATGGTCGACTAGCAACAGTACTGGGCTAGGGACCCGCGAGCACTGGCTTCCTTCGGCTCCCACCGCTCCCCTGTCTGGACCTCAGCTCCTCACACGCGGAAGGGGAAGGGTGGACTCAGACCACAGCCCCTGCAGCCCCGGTGTGGGCCGGCTGGGGGGCGTCGCCGCAGTCCACAGGGTGTGGGCGCACAGCCACAGAGGGGACCGCCACAGCAGCGCACCTGACATCCTTCTCGGTGTTAATATTCTTCTCTTTCATTATGTCGTCTACGCATTTGTCCACTTCACTCTGAGCAGCAAATGTGGCTTCCTGTAAAACCTGTTGACGTGGCAAAAAGCTGATTGAGAAAAATCCCTTACAGCTGAAAAAGGACAGTAAGTTTTAAGGTATTTAGTCAGCTCTACAAGCAGATATTAAAATGCAAAATGAAACCAAATTTGTTTCAAATTTTCACTACTAATTAAATTCAAGCAATTATTTAATTAATTAATTAATGGAAAGAGAAGCAACATGTTTCAGATGAAGTCTTCCTTAACTGAGAATCAACAGGATCTCTTAGCAAATGAGCTACTACCATAGTGTGCTTATGAAGCAGACACTTTTTATAAAATTCAAAAATTACATAATAAAAATGTATGTACAAAAAATCTGAATGCAGGAATCAAGAGAAATTTAAATGCAGAAGAGCACAAAGAGAAAGACACAAATAATTTTGTCATCTTACCACCAGTGAAAACCACCGGTAACAGATTAGCATGTTACATTTGAGGCTATACAGACAGACAACTAAAATTAACATTTCATGAAAGAACATTTAATTTTATTATGACGAGTGTTTTCTAGTTATTTTCTATTCCATCCTTTGGTGGTGGTGGCTGTTTAATGCTGGCCGTGATCTATGATGGCATTTCAAACAATGGTCCAGGTGACCCATGCTCTGCCTTTGTCACGCCACATGTATACATAGGAAAAAAATGTGAACTACTGCAGGGAAGTACAGCATGTAGTAGACTAAAGTATTGGTCCCAATTTTCCACTCCCCTGTAATTGAATTATATGTCCATTGCCTACTATGGCCTTACGGTGGGCACCATGTATTTCTCTATCTTTTCTAGGGCTTGGCCACATCAATTACTTTAGCCAATGGAAGGGTAACGGATATGACACCAGGAAACTTAAAATATGTCTGTGTGGTTAGGGCCTCCATGGTCCACTGTGAGAACATTCCCCAGGGGCCCACTACCTTTCCAACCTGGGTCCCAGAATGACACCGTGACCACAGACCTGAACTTGGCACCAGCTAAAAGAAGAGTCTCTAGATGGCCAACAGACACATGAGCGAGAAATAAATAACATATTGTTATATGCTCCTGAGATTGTGTAAGTTCGTTACCCAGCGAAAGCTGACTAATAAATAACATGAGGTATGACGTATTTTGGATCAAAAGTTACATGACCCAGGGTGCTCTATAAAAGGTTTTCCCCCAGGACCCTGCTTCCCCCAAAACCAGCAAGGAATCAGGCAAAATAAATAAGCAAAACCTCAGAACAGGACAAATTATTCAAATACCTTCTTTGTCCATAACAGCACACATTTGGAGAAAATATTTTAAAACTAAAATATTACTTCTAAAGTGGGAAAATTCCACTCAATTCTTTTTACAGCAAAGACTCTTCTGGGAGGATGTTAATCATTAATTCTAAAATTGAGGCATTCTTCTAAACAAAACATATTTTCCAGTTAAGTTTCCTGGAATTATCACCTTGATATGATCCTACCTTATTCTTGGAATACATCAAGGAATTTTCTGAAATTAAAAACAAAACAACAAAAATGTTATTACATGTTGTTTGTGAATTATTCCATAAACAAAGAGTATAAATATCTGGCCAATTATAAATTACTTTCAAAGTTCTAGAAGATACAATTTTTACATGAATAACTTATTGGACACTTAAAAATTTCAGCCTTTCAGTACACAACACTAGATATGATTCCAAAATCCTCAACCCACCCTAACAAACCACAGCCAAAGAGATGGAGTCCACCCAATCTCCCCAGAGTCATCTGTTTCTGTGCAGACCCCAAGCGCCTCCTGGCCCCTGCAGATTCACACATGGCTGGCTCTCTTGGATTAGCTTCTGCCCCAGAAACTCATCTTAAGACTCCAGGAAGAGTGCTCTCTACTACATTTTCTCCACGTGTTACCCTTAAGGAGTAAGAGTGTCATTTCAGGAGCTAGCAACTGAATGGATCATACAACACAGGGCTAAAATGCAAAGACTTCCGATTATTTGCCTAACCACCTCTAACCAGACAAACAGCAAAGCAGCTTCTCCTTTCTGTTTCAAGAATGACTAGAACATTTTCACCGGTTTATTTAAAAAATTTTTCTGGCACATTAACTTAAAGTCTTTTTCTCAGCAACTTGAAAAATTTGAAAAAATGTTTCTGCCACAAAATAAGGCCTTAACATATGTCCCCCCCTCCCCCGCCCACGCTCTATAAAACACCAAGGCTGCCAAGATTTCTTATCAAGAGGTACTTTGTTCTTCTCAAAACAGTCAAAAGGGCAAATCTAAAGAGCAGGCAATAATTTAAGTCAGGCACAAAGTTGTGAGAAAACTAGGGAAGTAATTAAATTTCAATCATCCAGCTGCCCTGAGGCTTACTCTCTCCTGGTCTGTCATCCTTTCACGTTGCCTTGGATACCAACAGTAACTTCCCAGATCTTCCGGGGTGGATTTCTTAGTTGAAGCACACTTGTTTGATGCAAAAGAAGGCCTGATTTCCCATTTAACACAGTGAGCATGAACTGCAGTTAATCCCTGGTTTTCTTTACCCTGGCCTAAGAGAAATGACCTCCCCCACGTCTGTCCCTCATTTGCATTCCAATTTAAGGCAGTATTTTCAATTATGCATTGCAAGCTGATGGATTTCAGAAGGTAAATAGACCAGTATTGTTACAGAAATATAATGCAAGCCAAAATGCACACTACAAGCGTAATTTAAAGTTTTCTAATAGCCACATTAGAGTAAAAGAAACAGATACAATTACTTTTACTATTTTAAACCAATACATCTAAAATATATTAAAGCAACATACCCAAAATATTCCATATATAATGAACACGAACAATTACTAATGAGATAGTTTTACATCCTTTGTTCATATCAACTGTTAAAACCCAGTGTATATTTTATACTTCCACATATCACGATTCCTAATAACACATTTCATGTGCTCAACAGCCACATGGGCTACTGGCTCACGAGTGAGTATTGGACAGTGCTGACTTTGAGTCTAATAATCTTCCCTAGGGATCACTAGATACCTATTGCTGTCTTTTCATGAATTTACACAAGAGATGAAAAGATTCATGGAAGATGCTGAGTATAAAAAGGAATCTATGGAATAGATCCAGACACCCACTTTTCCATCACTTGGGTGAAAATTTCAAAGAGCTTATAGAATTAAAGATTTTCTTCTAAAATATACTTCACAACTATAACCTAAGGAACAACAGATAAATTTCAGGAGCCAGAGAAAATAACTGTTCGCACAGACGGGGAATTAAATAATAATCCTTTTTTCTTTTTCAATAAAATCATACAGTTTTGGGAATTCAATGCTAGATTCCACAGATTATGAAACTGAGTGTAAGTGACTTGATCAGGTTACACAATGAGTGCATGTCACTGTGAATATTGAGGAAAAAATATTCATTCAGAATTAAAATTTTATTAGTTTTTAATTATTCTCTTTCAGATAACATTACCTATCCTGTGTGTCCTCTGGGCACCTACATAGGTATCAAAAATTCGCTGCAATTCACACTTTCCAGTCATCTGTCGTAAGAGCCATTTCATCCAAAACCGAAAAAAGTGCCCATAGAAGAAGTCCCACAAAGAAATAAACATTTTTTTTTCCTGGAGAAGGAAATATATGACAGGTTTAATGACCTTAAATTGGATTTTAAAAAGGAAAAAAATTAGTTTATTCAATTCATCAAGTCTCAAGTTACATTAATATCTATTCCACTATTCCACTGTGTCTGTTTGTAGTATTGTTTAAGGAATCTAAGAAAAACAATGATAGGTGTAATATATACTATTTAGATTAAATTATGGCTGGTCAAATGGTCAATTTTTCACTTTTTACAAATTAACTGTAAAATTCAAAATTACTTACTTAAAATTTAAGCTCTTGGTTCCCTTTTTAAAATTTTTCACTCTTTGAGAATTGGGGCCCAACAGTTGACAAAGGGAACCCAACTAAGCAACAATTAAATAAAAAAAAACACGTATCAGAATTGTTATTATAAGGAATAGCTCTTCTTAATCTCTTATGAATGGTTCCAGTTACATGTATCCCATAGTAAGGTGTTGCCAGCAAATAAAAACACTACATATGGTTTACAAACTGAAGTACACAGGCTGAACACTGAGTAGATCACATCCTGGCTAAGTCTTGTTTTTCCACTCAACAGGTAAAAGACTGAAATCCTGAGGACAATGAACTACACCTTCAATAAAGCTGAATCTTTACGTCGTAAGAAAAACCTTCAGTTCCTAAACGAAGAGCGATGGGGGCAATGCGAGTGAGTAATTACTTAAAATCCAACAAAAATGTTCATCTTCTTCCTGCCTTAAACATTCCCACCTATATATCATCTCTAGACGAAGGTCTGCCAGACTGTCAATTTTGAAATCCCCGCACATCAGCGCAGAAATGGTGCACGACAGCGATGGGCTAAACTGTAACGTGAAAAAGAACCCATCTAGTACACGCTCCTCCTGACAAAAGAACTGCCCAGCGGAGGGAACACAAGCCTCGCTGCGCGTGAGCTCCCCAGACAGCGGGGAGTCGCTGCGCCCAGTCCCCGTTTCGGAGCCCGGAGGAGCCCAGCTCTCTTGCTGCCCGCGAGTGGGAGGGAACGGCTCGCACAAAGCCCCACCGTCCCGGCGTCCAGCAGATCTGCCGTGGGACACCGCGGGGCTCGCGCACCCCGCGCGCTCTCAGTGCACCCGCAGGGAAGCCGCACGGGGCGAGAGGAAAAGAAACAGCAGCCACCTCACAGGAGCGGAAGAGCTAAGGGGAGCTGGAGTCTGCCTCGGTTTCCCCAACTGCAAACAGCCGGCAACGGAAACGACGCTACTAGCACAGGGTTCCCCGCAATCACCGTGACCCGGAAGTTGGGGAGCAAGGCCACGGGAGAGCCTTCTCTTGGACACGGCCTGCCCCGCCCCTCCGGCCTCCTCCGATTGGTCCACGCTCCACCAATTGCTAATGCAGCAAGAAGGTCGAGCAGAGTTGCTTTGGCGCGTGCTCGCATTCTAGGGACGGGAGACGCGTTCCCTAGCAACGGTACTAGGAGGCACGCCCCAAGCGCCCAAGATCTGTCTACCCAGCGTCTCCGTGAAGACTTCCCTCGCAGACTTTTGCGCAAGTTGACCCCGTGTCCTGCTTCTACACTTCAAGCGCAGAAAAAGAGGTGTACTTTTGGTAACTACCATAGCGTTTTCACCCACATTTAATCTTAATTCCGTGTATTTTCCTCCCGCCGTTGGGAATCCACAAATACGCTGGGCAGATTTAAATGATACGCGGATTTTCTAAAGTGTTGGACCGCAACCCCGCGGTGTTCAAGGGTCAACTGTAATGATTAATAGTCTCACTTTATGGACGAGGAAACGGAATTTGCGTTTAATAACGTTCTCGTGACTGATCAGTGGCAGGTAAGAGCCATATATGTTGAGGAAAGAAGTTTGGACTTAGTTCTGTAATTACAAGCATCTAACAATTCCTCAAACATTTATTCCTTAAGTGGTTGTTTTTCTTGAAAAAGAAACTTAAGTATATGATTTTTTTTAGAAGTTCCATCTGAAACAGTACATCAATGCAAGTATTGGTTGTTTCCCTGTTATATGCCAGTCGGAGCTCCAAAAGGGAGTCTGCACAGTAAGCAAACGCAAATATTGAGTGTGCCGGGTGGTGCTAAAATAAGGCGTAGGGGGAGGGGGGAGATTTTACACACAGGTAGGTGGGGGAGTCTCTGTATTAAGGCGACATTTGAGCAGTGTCCAGGATGAAGCAAGGCAGGAAACCTTCCGAGTGTGTGGACAAAGAGCATCCCAGGCACGTAGAAAGGCAAGTGCAAGGGCCTTGAATCAGGAGCGTACTTCATAAATTGGAGGAATTCCAAGAAGGCCAGTGTGGCTGGAGGAGAAAGAGCAAGGGAAACGCAGAATGTAAGTACAAAGGACAACCTTCATATAAGTATGAAAAATAAGTCCCCTGCACCCCCATGCAAACTGCTGGTCCCTCAGCCCCCTTGCTCAAAAGCAACCAATATTAGTTTTCTGGTTTGTATCTCCAGGAATATTCTATGTAAATATGTAGATGTATATTTCCTCCATCCCCTTGTTAACACAAATTGAAGGCAGCAATGCACACCTTTCCACACCTCAACCAACATTTTTTAAAAGATGCTAATTGCAAAAAAACGCTAAACAGGTGAAGGGTGCATACGCCATCATCCCTGCCCCACAGAGACATCCAACAGTCAACTTGGTAATGAGATCTGGACATAGAATAATAAAACTATACAATCTTAGATGTTGAAGGAAACTTAAAGATCACTTCACTGAATATTTTTTTATTGCACATAAGAAGATTCAGAAAGGCAAAGTACACAGCCAATTTGGCAAATTAAGAAGTAGACACTAACTTCTGTTTCAGAGATCTCTCCATGCACAAGACCTTCGTAAAGTAGAAAGTGAGATAATCCTGTACTACAATGATAGACTCCTTCTATCTTTTCATTGTGCTGTACTGACAGTAGGGAGTGAAGAGAGCTCCTCTCGTCTCCATGCTGCCTATTGGTCCACTTCAATCATGGTTTTCTCCAAGAGAAGAGAATTCTAACCTCCTTGGTCAGCACCTGAGAAGGGAACTGAATGTCACTTATTGGAAGCAGGAATGTCATGCACATATGAATTCCTTTCTCCCCCCTGCACTAGTTCATTTGCATGTAACTGACATATATTAAACCAGAACTGTTCCTTGGGGAAGGCTGACTTTCTCTCTGTCTCTATTATTCTCTGATTTTCTTTTTCCATGTGGCTGGCGTAATGGTGGTTAAGCCCCAAGATCAGAGTTCTGGCTTCAAGGAGAAGATGGGACCTACTTAGGTCTCTAGACTAAGCTGTGTGCTTTTACTTGGCCTTATGGAAAAACCAAGACTATAATAGCATAATGGAGTTTAGTCACGTTTTCAAAAAAGATTTTATTTACTTTTAGAGAGAGAGGAAGGGAAGGAAAAAGAGAGGGAGAGAAACATCAATGTGTGGTTGTCTCTCATGTACCCCCCACCAGGGACCTGGCCAGCAACCTAGGCATGTGTCCTGACCAGGAATTGAATCAGTGACCCCTTGGTTTGTAGGCTTGCACTCAGTCTACTGAGCTACACCAGCCAGGGCTGGTCACATTTTTGAGGAGTCTCTGCTTTCTTGGATTCCCAGGCTAAACAGTGAAGACACTTTGTTTAAGACACTGCTTAGTAGAAAGAGTTGATTAGTATGCCTGTTAGGCAGCAGCTTGTTGCAGGGTTCAGCATCTGATCGACATCAGCACCCACTTTTGGAGCGTGTAAGACATGGAATGCAGTGAATTTATACTGAGAAGGAAAATCGTATAGTCTTTTTACTAAGAGTGAAATGGGTTTGTCTTGGGGGAAGTATTACAGATATTATGGACAGTGGCAACCCTGATTAGTTTTTGCTGATTTGTGTTGCACTTTCCTGAAATCGTGTTAGACACTGATTAGGGGGAACTCCTCATATTTGCATACCACATGATTCTTTTAATGGGAGAACAGCAAAATATACAGATTTGTTCTCACAGCTACTACTAATGGGCTTTACCAACAAAAAGAAAGTTTACGCTATTCAGAATTAAGTTATGGCCCTGGCTGGTGTGGCTCATTGGATTGAGTGCTGGTCTGCAAACCAAAGATTCACTGGTTCAATTCCCAGTCAGGGCACACGTCCGGGTTGAGAGCCAGGTCCCTTCAATAGGGGGTGGGGGAGAGACAACCACACATTGATGTTTCTCTCCCTCTCTTTCTCCTTCCCTTCCCCTCTCTCTAAGAATAAATAAATAAAATCTTTTTGGAAAAAAATAATTAAGTTATGGGCTGGGGTGGAAATGGTAATCAGAACAAAGACAATAAGCATTGAATCAAATATATATATATATATTTGATATATATATATATATATATTTATATACGTATATATGGGGGGGAATTTTTTAAAGACAGGGAATGAAGGGGAATAGAGAAGCAGAAAAATTGACAGAACCCCTACCAAGGGTTTGGTGGCACATTAACTATAGCTGAGACTATAGCTGAGATGAGAAAAAACCACTTCACTTAAGTAAACTTATCAGATCTGTTCCAATTATCCCAGCTGGATAAGTTTAAAGCCACTGATGGTAAAGGAAAATAAGGTGTGTTTAGCACAGGGTAGTGATTTTAATTCCTCTATTAATGTTGTGGGAGAGAAGGACAATCAACTCGAGAGTCAAGAAATCTTCATGTGACCCCATGTAAGAGGTCCAAGATTGCGTGGTATCATCAATGTTGAGAGGCAGAGGAGAGTGGAAAACCTCTTCGGGATTATCAAATGAAGATGTGAGATGCACCATAATACCTGAAGGGTAATGGAAAGTCAATATTAAGGTATGAAAATGGAATTTTGGGGCATATGAAAATGTTATGGTGGTTACACCAGAATCATTGTGGAGCCGAAGAGGAAGAAATAAGAAAGAGCTAGTTCTTGCCTTTACCTGAGTGTGTAATTAAAATGCATGTGACAGGACTTCTGGTCAAGATGGTGGCACAGGCAGATATAGCTTGTGTTTTTGCACAAGCACATCAAAATTTTAACTAAAATATAGAACAACCATCACTCAGAACTGTCAGAAATCAAGCTGAATGCAAGTCTGACAACTACGGAATTAAAGAAACCACATCCATCCAGACCGGTAGGAGGGGCACAGACATGGAGTGGTCTGGTCCCTCACCCACATGTGGTGGATAAAAATTTGAGAGCAAGGAGTGCCAGCCCCACATTGGCTCCCTAGCCCAGGATTCCAATGCCAGAATAAGTCCCCACAACTTCTGGCTACAAAAACCAGCGAGGATTGAGTTGGTGAAAGAAACTGCTGGATCCCCAAGCAGGTCCTCTTAAAGAACCCACACACAGTCACCTAATCAGACTCACTCCCTCTGAGCTCTAGCATGGGGTGGCAGCTTGAAAGGCACCAATGGCATACAGGGAGAAACTGCAGTGTCTGGCATCAAGGCAAGCAGAGGCCATGGCCCCTTTTCTAAACACTCCCCCGACAGAGCTGGCAAGCTGCTTCCATATCTGAGACTCCATTAACCTGGCTAACACTGTTTGACCTGCCTTGGAGATCCCCAGTGACTGCCCCACCCAATCTACAGGCCCACCCAAGCTCCTTTTCCAGATGAATGGCTGGTCTTGGATCATGCTTCACAACTTTCAAAATCCTATTGAACAAGCAGCAGCCACCCTTATTGAGTCCCCAGCCCCTGCACCTCTTGCTAAGTGGCCCCAGGCCCGGCACTAGCAGCAGCCAGTAGATTCACAGCTGGACTACACCTGGGAATCTCCAATCCCAGCGCAAGTATCAGCCATCTCAGATTGCTTTATAGCTCAGGCATGATGGCACCGGGCATAACACAGAGTTGACCTTGGCCAGAACCACCTGGGAAACCCTAGGGCCAGTGTACCCAGCGGACAGCTACAGACCATGTTAGAGCACTGCCATCCTGCTCCTGCACAGCTGAATCATCCATGGAGGGTGGAGATTAGTGGTCAGTGGTCAAAGCCAGTCCTTGCCGCTGACTGGCTTAGGTAAATCCCTCCCATTGACTTGCCAACAGCAGCCAAAGCTCAACTACAAGAGGAGGGTGTGCTCAGCCCACACAAAGGGCACACATCGATTACCCAGCTTGGGTGACAGGGGAGGCTGTGCCACTGGATCCTACAGGACACCTACTACATTAGGCCACACCACCAAGACAGAGTCAAAGCAGCTCTACCTAATACACAGAAATAAACACAGGGAGGCTGCCAAAACAAGGTGACAAAGAA